CTCGACATACTCTCAACACTCAGTGGCTCGGCCAGCGGGATTGTGATGGGTTGCTGCAGCCCCCGATCGCCTGTTTGCGTATCGTTCTATCATAGCAGGACCAATTTGGGTTTTGGGCATCAAGCATCCACACGTGAGATAGCACACCCCAGGTTGCCCAGCGCCTCAAGGCTCGGACCACGAGCAAAATACAGCGTTGTCTCTTTTGAGGGCTTCAACACCAACCGCTAGAAACTGCTCGAGCATGATGCGCTCATGCGCTGCATGCTGATCAATGACATAAAGCAGACGGCCATCGGGGATGGGAACCGTACAGCACAAGAATTTGGCATCCAACTGGCCTACCACCTGCAACGAAACCCAGACAGTCATGCGCACAAATGCACAGACTCACGAATGGATGAGCTGGCGAGCGGTACACCGACGCACCCGCGTCTGATGAAGATGCTCATTGTTAAGCCGTATATTCTGCAGTGCCCTGCCAACAGCCATACACCGACGCTGTGAGAGATGCCTTGCCAACAAGATAGCGAGGTAACAAAGATAATGAGCTAGGTTCTACCCTCTTGGGAGTTTGGGTAAATTCAGGAAACGCGGTTGAGGCGTGTTTGAAGCCGAGGAGGGCAAGTTTCCTGAATCGGGCGTCCGGATCTGTTGTTCATTCATGCGCGCCGTCAGCAAAATAGCGGGTCTTGCACGCAGGGTCGAAAAGTTGACGGACCTTGACTTGAATCAGGGCATCATTGGAATGAGGCCCAGGCCCCATAGCTTCCTGGGTCGCCTGGGTCGTCTGGATCTCCTGGTTTTCGCGCCTTGCCTGAAGCCCGTGCCTACACGCCTGTAGTTGATTATCTGGGACTTGAGACATGATTTGGGCCGGGCCCGCTTCTATTCCCGGCTCAGGCGCCAAGTGCAGGGCGTGTCCAGTTGGAGTGGGACTGGCGGAGGAGTGCAACAAGTCGTGATCGACGGTGGGCGCATCTTGTTTGGGTTCGGCGGTCAGCCCTGACTGGGCTGCACTGCTGCTTGCAGACCGGAACGAATGAAAAGGGCTACGCTTGGGGCGCTTGGGCGAAGACTCCAGCTGCGCAGGTATGTCTGTGGAGGCAGGTGCAGTAAAGAGTGGAGGCATCACAGCAAGAAAGCCTTGCTGTTCAAGGAAACGACGCGTCAGGCTCGTGATTTGAGCCAATTCAGGGCTGTCAGGATCCATGAGAAAGCGGTGTTTGTTATCAACCAAGTTATCTGCCGAAAAGTCAGCCATCTCCACCCAGAGCGCAAAGACGGGGTAGTAGCGGGGGCGGCGGCTGCGTAGCTTGCCCGAGTCTATCTCATCCCCATGCAAGCACAGAGCACATGCGCATCAAAAAAATCATCCACTTGTACAAGGGCCTGTCCCATCACATGTGCAGCTCAATCCTCTCTTCTCTTCGCCATGTCTCGTGAACAGTCCCAGCATACCATTCTTCTCGTCTTGACGGCCAAAGAGGCTGTGAGCAAAAGTACTTCGCACAGCCTCGAGGGCCTGACCCTGCGTTTGTGGATGACCATTAACGGACAAAAACTGATAGGCTTGCGTGGGATGCCCCTCCGTTGCGAAGGCGGCGCGAAGGTGCCTTGCTCCCGGCTCGTCCATGGCGATGACGGTTGCACGCAAAGCCGCGGGGAGCACCGCACGGAAGCGATCCAATGCCGAGGTGTGGGCGGGCAGGCACCACCGAGGTACGGCTTCATTCCGCCCAAAGGTCCAGGTCAACGCTGTACCAGGGCAGGCCAGCGCATAGCGAGCAAGGACAGCACGAATTGCGCGAGGGGGACATGATGCAACGCTGCGCCGTCGTACGGGCAAGCTGAAGAAGATGTCACTCACCCGAACGGTTGTGTGCCAACTATCACCACTATCCACCACCGTCAGGCTACTGGGTTGCCCACCTATCACGACCTTTTGAAATAAAAGCCCTGATTGGGGGTCACGCGACTTAATGCTGAGACAGCAACATTGGGCAATGGCGCGCAGCGCTTGGCCCCGAAACCCATGAGTTTGAGCCTGAGCCGTGGTTGGCAGCTTGCTGGAGGCGACGGCTTGACCCAATAGCTGCAAATCATCGTGTCGCAACCCATGTCCGTTGTCGCGAACGACTACCAAAGCTTCGTCTAATGCGGTGTGCACGACCACCCGGGTTGCGCCCGCGTCCAGGGCGTTGGCCAAGAGCTCGGCCACCAGGACCGTCACATCGCTCAAAACGTAGGCGTCGCCGAGGCGAGCTGCCAAATCGGCCGGCAATGGCCGCACCTTCCCTGGCGTACCCATGCCACGCACCAATGCACCTGGTGTCTAGTAACTGCCAGTTGTCCCAACACCGGCGCTCACCCCATGGTCCATTGAGGGAGGAGGCTTTCTTCTCTTTTTTTTTCTGTTTCGGTTCGTTAAAATAACCACCACCAACAGAACAAAGCAGTCTGTACCTTGGACGCGGTTTTGGCGGGAAATGTTGCGCTTTTGTCGACAAATCGACACAGAGAAAGAGAGGTCATCAGGAAGAGAAAAGCATAGAGAGAGAGGAGATGAGACGTTTGTCAGCACACAGACGTGCAGGTCCAGTGACGACGATCTTGTTTCCAGGGGTCAAGAGGCCACGATGGCTTGGCTCGCCAGCATAGTGCGAATTGTCCAGCATTTGTTGGAGCAGGGTGTGGCAGCAGCTCGGCTCCCAGAAGCCCAGGGGCTAGCGGCGCAAGGTGCACCAGAACCTCCAAATGGCTCCGTTTCGAACAACTCGGGAGAAGCGGCATGGTCTGGGCTCGGCATCTACTTGGCTGTACGTGGTGGCACACCTGCATTGATGTGGGATACAGGGCACCTGTAGAAGAGCAACACAGCTTCTGATGGTTGTCGGTGTGGATGGATAGTTGGACGTTGGTTCTGACAGAGTGCGTCTCCTGACGGGAGGCGACGGACACGTGCGTGGCCATTGGGCGTCTACGATTGGCCTGAGGAGCCAGGCGCCCTGCTTGGACACGGCCCCACCGGTGAGAAGCAAGCAAGGCCAGCACCTTGTCGACTGCAGGCAGCATGCAATAACCCCAGATTGAGGGAATCAAAAGCCCGAATGCTATCACTGGTCCCTTTGAGATCATCTTACACGGTGTTGTGTCCATCCTGTGGTTTTGCCGTGCTGATAGTGGCCCGGGCCCGAAGATGCTCGCCCCGCAGACTGGGCTTGGGGACCAATTATTCAGTTTGCGCCGCATGAGCGCGTCCCGTCCGATGTGTGGCTTGATGCCCTGATCAGTGTGCACGATTGGGCCGCGTGTCTGCAATGCCCTGGTCCCTGGGACAGCGCGAGGCGCGAAGCAAGACTTTGTCTTCAGCTGCTGCGGGACGGCACACTTGATCATTCGGATGTGTTGCATTTTCCCAATCTCACCTCCATTGCTACACTTGAAACTTGTTCCAAAGCTCACCTCGTGACCCTGACATCTGGACACCGGGTCAGTTCGAGGCTGTTGTGAGACATGGTGTGGGTTCGAAAGGCACTCACGGCTTTCCAAGAACAATGTACAATGTCAGGTCGCCGTGTCATGGCGGTGCGTCTTGTCATGGATGGCGGACGCGCAAGCTTCGTCTGAATGGGAATTGCAAGTACGTGGCCTCATGTAACCCAAGTTACAAAAGAACCTTTCTGTCTCACCAGGTTTATGATCTTAACACCCTACCGCGAAAACATGCTCAGGTGGTCGAGCGCTGTGCCTGGTCAAGTCGGCACCCATGCCTCCAATTAGATCGTGCACTGCTGCCATCCAAAGGTCAGTTGATGCGTCGCGGCAAACCCGTATTCTGGATCTGTCCATTCGAGTGTTTGTGGGATGTGCGCCGCCTGCGTCCTGGCTTCTGCTGTGTATCCCAGCTTGTTAAATGGTATGTCCTGCGCTGCTTCACTAGTCAACTTGAGCTTGATGGCACGTCTACACTTGCAGCAGTTGCTAGCTGCCAGCTCATCGCAGCAGTTGGGTCCTGGCCGAGCCGTACTGACCGCAACACTTGTTCTGGAGCAGCGAACGTCTCCCAAGGCCCGCCATTCCATTGTCAAGTCAGCTCACACTGAACAGCCGGGGCCTACTCCTCAAGCTGAATCGCGTTGTGCTGCTTCTGATCAACATTCAGACACAACAAAGACAGGGTCAGCCGCCTCGGGCAGCAAGCAGGAGCCTGCAGAAGTGCAACCCAAGTCTACGCCAGACAGCGGCTTGGGGGACGTTTGGGCCAGCTTGGAGGAGCATCGCGCCAAGCTGCTACGATCATGGACATTGCTCCTTTCTCGGCTAATCCCCAGCGCGCAGAATGCTCCCACGGTCAGTGTGTGTGTGTGTGTGTGTATGTGCTTTCCGGTCAACTTCCCCGCTTTGGCGAGCTTGGCGGATGTCGTGACAGGTTCGCTCTGTTGCTTGGCATGTAGTCTGAAACGAGGTATCAGCACGCCGCCAAGTGCCTGGCTACCATCATCACCGACCACCCTTGCCCCAGCATTCGTAACCACTGGCTGCAGGTCTTGGGTGTGGCGCACGGGATCTCGACGCCTGCCTTGTGTGATTTTCTAGCTCTGAGTCTCTATCGCAGCGGCTGTTCTGGGCCAAAGAATGCATCCAAGCCGGAACCAAAGGACGCACAACAACACGATTCTGCGTTGGAGGGCGAGCATTCGGCCAAGCGTGTATGCCACTGGCAGGTCGAAAAGAAACACTAAACGAGTGAATTCTGGTAAAGATCGTGATGCGGACCAAGACGGCGGGGCAGCAGCACTAGCCGACGAGCACAGCTCATATCGTGGTACGCAGCGCGTCTGCACGTGCGGGTTCTCGTTCACATGGGGCGCAGGCCTTTTGTCCCACCCCTGAATCAAGATGCAATTACGGTCATTTACATGTTAGTACCTTGGATGGTTCATAGGGGCAAATGAGCTTGTCGGTCCCCCGTATAAGAGCCTGCCGGCAAAGGTCGAAAAACAGACGGTTGCAGCGAGGAATTGTAAGCGTGCAAACCAAATAAATCGCAAAAAAAAAACAAAAAACAAGCACACAACCAAAACACGTTCGTGACCTACCAAACTGGCCATTCAGGCGCGGGACTTGTCCGGGCCGAGTGGCTTCTTCGCGCACCACGGGTCCGTTTTGCCAGGTCAAGTCAAAGTTGCCCACACGTCGTTCTTTGAGAGTTCGCCTACAATCCCCCCACCCCACAAATTCAATTTCCCGGCAGCACGAAACAGTTTGAGTCAATGAATCCCAACCGTGCGCCCTATTCCTCGACCGACGCGTTTGCACCACGCACCTATGCTCAATGTCCAGCACATGAAAGGCGTCCTGCAACATATTACACTTGAGGTGGTAGTCAGTCTCTGTGTCCGCGGTCAAGCTCGGAGAGGCGTTGACTTCAATGAGCCAAGGTTTGAGACGCGCATCCAACAAGACGTCAAAGCCATATAGCTCAAAGCAGTGCTTTTGCACGGGAACACGTGCTTGTACCGCCCGCAATGAGGTCACAGCCAGCTTGGTGATGTCTTGTACCATAGTCTGAACGGCTTCATGGCCATGGGCAGCCTCGAGAAAACGGCACACCTGTGTCATCAGCCATTTGCACCCCTTGGCCTCGTCGTATCCCTCGGCCTTTTTTTGCACAGCCACGTTGGTAAGGTGAACCTGACTGTTGGAAATGTCTTCCATGGAGAAGGGGAATCCAGAAAAGCGCGCAAAGCCCTCGCGGTAGGTCCAGCACTCAAGCGGCTGATAGGCTGTGACCAACACATACAGGCGAAGATCAAACTTCTTCCCGCCAATGAGGTAAGGGTCGTCAAGATACCGCTGGACAATATACGACTGCTGGGGCGGCGCTTCATTGGCAGCGGTGGAGGGTGCCTGGAAGCGTGTGTCCTTTTTGAAGGCTAGGATCTCGCTTAGCTTTTTGATGAGGAAGATGCCCTTGCCTTGAGCGCTCCCCACGGGCTTCATGATCCAGACAGAACCTGGCTGGCGTCGAAAGGCCTCGACAAAAATGCCATAGTCATGTGGTAGCCAGTATGTGGCCGGCATGAACGTTGTGTCGATGTAGTCATCGCGCAGCTCGGGATTCTTGGCCACACGCCGCTGCAGATCCTTCAGGTTCTTGGCCATGAAATCCTTTCGGGTAAGCTCGTAGTGCTGGGGAAAGTGGCAAATCTTGCAGTGTTCGGGAAAGTTGCTAGGGACATATGTTTCGCGGGCCCAGGTAGTATCACACCAGAAGAGATCCCAGTTGTCGTCCGCGGTCTGGGCCCAGCCCATTGCCAAACAGGCATCGAGCACCGTGTTGGACAGGTAGGAGCGAAACTTGACCACCGTCGAGCGTGGATTGGTGCCCCGTGGCGCCAGGCTCAGTTGCGACGGTCCCCCAGACTCAGCTTCCTTGCCCCCACTCGATGCACCGGCGGTCGACATGGTCGTGGGTACCCCAGATCCCCGACCACGGGCGTACCCCTTGCTGCTCAAAACTGGCGAATCAAGAAAGTCTTAAAAAATCAGCATCGCTTTTGCTTGACAACGCCAAACAAAAGTGCTGGTGTTTTCTGTTGCTTCTTCCTCTGTTTCTTTTTTCGATTCTGGTTGCTTTCTGAAGGTGCGACTGCACAGGAAAATACAAAGTCTGGGTCTGAGAAAAGGACAGAACAGGGCGACTCGCTCGCCATTTCGGGACGGGAGGACATGAAAGCAAACAGACCATATAAAAAAAAAAAAAAAAACTCTAGCCTATCATGTCAACGGGAGTGTTAGTGTTGGTCACAGTTGCGCGCGCGCACTGCGCGGTTACTCGTGAGTCTCCTGCAGACTGCGCTGCAAGTCGGTGGGACCAAAAATGGGCGTCAAAATCTCCAACAGTCCACAAAAAGCAATCGTGCCATTGTCCTCCTACGTATATCCAAAAGGCGCGCTTGGTGAGACGCCGCGAGGAGGAAACAGCCTTGCCGATAAGAGGCGAGACCGACAATGCAGAGGCAAATTCACTAGGCAACACACGTAGGCAAACTTCAGGGGTACTGGATGCGCCTCAAGCGACAGCCGCTCGATGACTGCCAGATGTGGCACATCTGCTTTGAAGCTACGACCGTTGAGACAGAAGTGAGACAGAGGGAAGGCGGCTTAAAATGGGTACCACCTCGCACCACAGAGACAGGGCAGCCGGACACGATGCGTACCTGCAGACAACGACGGCTGCTGCCGGCATGCCGGGGTCTGTCTTGCGAAATTCTCGCGAGGGGCGGAAGACATCGAAGGTGATCTTCGGTGCTGAATTTTGCGATACCTCAGATCGCGAGGGAATGCTGGGTTGCGCTGAGGCTTCTCGTGTATGGCGCACAATGCGTACTTGTTCGAGTACTCGAGCTACACACCATGTCAAAAAGCCATGCCAATTGCGGGCGATGGTTGATGAGAATGGTAGGGTGGCCCCAAACTCGAGCGCAGATGCTCGCAAGCAGCTACCTGGATTGTTGCGATCGACATTGGCCACGAGCGGCTGTTCCTCCTGATAGGCAGGGCTAATCCACCGACCCATGGGACTGAGCTGCAAGATGTAGGTTTGCCAGGACGATGTGGCAATGAGGGCAACCAGAGCGCCGATCCCGCTTATTTCAGGGGCGCCATCGCATAGACTGCGCACATTAACGCACCAGCTGCTCAACAGTGGCCACTATTGAGGAGAAACGTGACGCAACGCTTCGAAACAAGGCCGCTGTGGCGTGAAAGCATGTGAGGTGAGTTTTGCACATGGCCAGAGCCGGGCGCTAAAGCCTGTATTTCATGGGCAATAGCGCCCATGGCAGTTGCAAACAGCGAATCAACACATACGTGGGTGGAATGGAGGCTTCGACGTGCTGGACGGAGCCCCAATGGGCACCGCAAGCGAGGTCGAAGGGGGTTGGATGTCGGTTGGTGCGGGGCCGGGTAGCTGGTGTTGAGCCTCATTCGTCACGGGTTGTTCAGTGTCAACAGCAGCCGTGGTCTCCGGCACATATTTCTGATGTCGGCGCACATGGTAGCCATTGCGGCGAAAGTGTGTGTAGGTCTGTCAAGAAGACAGCAGCGGAAGGCACACCCATGCGCAAAAGGCCAACTGGTTGAGCATCATTGGCGCATGTCTTGAGCCCGAGTGAGGACTGCATTGCCTGGAGGACAGCGAGAGTGGTATAAATATGATGGACAAACCAGGTACTCGGCATAAGTGAGCGCCCCGCTTGAGAGCAGCAAGGCCGTGGCTTCTTGCAGCGACAGGGGATAGTCTCCATCGTAGATTTCAAAGGCACCCTAGCACATGGCGATGAAGCATGAGCCAAAAAAAATGCAACCCACATCCGACTCCAGCGTCATCTCTCACTCCCCGCCTTGCGCTGCTCAGACGTGCGTGTGCACACGCACACACGCACACACACGCACACACACACACATACTCGCTCAGCTAGGAAGAGTGCCTCCTCTGGATAGAGCATATGAGCGCGTTCTTGGCGGTCAAAAAAACCACTTGAACCAAACGCCGAGCCCTGCACTCGGCAAGATGCAAGACATGAGCGAAATAAACTTCTGTTGTGAGAGGCACAATGCTGTTCAAAAAAGAAAACGGGCTACACAATCAGCACATCTCTCGGTCTCCGCGGGCAGCAAAGCCTTGACTCACCTTGCCTAGCAGCACTTGCACCAGCTGAAGATCTGGTCGCCAGCATCCAAAGCTGGCGGTCCGTCTATTTATAGCCAGGCCCGGCACGAGAGAGGCAACGGGGGAAAGGTTGAGGACATGGGTTTGTCAGTCAGCATCGAGACTCACGAGGCAGCAAGGTGGTGCCGTCACGTCGTACAAAGAGGTCACGTGTTCGCAGGAGTGAAGGGCAAAAAATTCAGCGCGAGTAGCAGCAAGCTTGAGCTGTTGTTCCTTGTTTCCAGGCTCGGGAGCATAGTCTTTTTCGCCGGCTTTGCCGCGTTTGGGTACCAGCCAAGCCCCTGCAAAGCTGATCAAGCACCACGTTATCGGCAAATGGCTCAGCGCAGTTAACATGCAATCTCAAACCACCAACCTCGGTACGCCGGGCACCTCGCTGGCATTGCGCTTGGGCATGATGACCAATGACTCGGCACCCCCAAGGGCAGATCCAACAACATGCACGCAAAAGCTGCCTGCGCGCCTTCTCCTGTAGCTACCACACCAGCCACACCAGCCACCAGCGAGCCAATAGCCACCAGCGAGCCAATAGCCACCAGCGAGCCAATAGCCAAAATGACCGAACCAGAAAAGAAGAGAAAAACAGCAAACGACTACTTTTGTGATGAACTCATCCGCGCCCAAAAATGATGACAAAGTTTCATGCGATGATCTCCAGTTTTTTTTTTGTTTTTTTGGTTTTTCTTCCGAGCACAACGCGTTCAAGATGGCTGGTTGTCGTGCTCTTGTGCTCGTGATGGTGCTGGCGTTGGCACAAGCATACATTGATGATGGGACGCGGCCTGTCACGTTTTGGCCTCCTCTGAAGTCGGCTCAAAATGGTACAACTTGGAGCCGACTGAGCTGTCAGCTGCTTTTTCGCGAAATTGGCGAGGGCAACCTGAGTGATGCCGTGGCTATCTACAAGCCCTTCATTGCCCCGACATGCTCCCAACCCGATGGCCCATTCACGTTGAACGTCATCGTCATTGATGTCGTGCATGCCGAAATTGATATTGGTAACCCACCTGACGACGAAAGCTACACTATCAACGTTCCCCAGTCTGGCAGCATTGTCATCAAGGCTGAATACTACGTCGGCGCACTGCGCGGCCTGGAGACACTGTCCCAGCTCGTCCAACCGCAACCGGTATGGTGCTTGTTGATCCTCAGCCCCCATTCTGATCCCACCTCAGCTGACCCCGGCTTCTCATTTGTCAGTGAAACCCCTCATCCCCGTGAACTTGCATCTGCCACTTCTTCTTTTTTTTTTTTTTTTTCCTCGTTTGCAACCACGCTCGCTCGCTCGCACTCCCTCTTTTAAGAATGGATCGGTCATGGTGCCCATGACACCGTGGAACATCTCGGACCAGCCGGACTTTACGTACCGCGGGCTTTTGGTGGATGTGGCACGCACTTATCTACCCATTGAAACGTTAAAGACGATTGTTGATGGCTGCCTCTACTCCAAGATCAATGTTGTGCACTTGCATCTGACCGATTCCCAGAGCTTTCCTCTCTGGCTGACCACTCTGACAGACATCACAGTGCACGGCGCCACTTCGGCCGACAAAGTTTACACCCCTGATATGTTGCGCGAACTGGTGAACTATGCTGCCCTGCGTGGCGTTCGCATCATTCCCGAGGTACTCACAGCCCATGGCCTGGTTGCCAGCCTTGGCCTACACGCCTGGTTCAAGTGACTTGGCGCATGCCGATGCTCACCCCTTCTCATGCTGCCGTAGATTGATACACCCGGACATTCCCGTTCTTTTGGTCTCAGCCCAGAGACAAAGGATATTGTGGCCTGTGCCTATGAGAAAGACTGGGAGAAATCGTGCGCAGAGCCCCCATGTGGACAGCTCAACCCAACACTCGACAAGACCTATACGGTCTTGCAGTACGTATTCTACGACCTCGTCCTGATCTTCAAGGATCCCTACATTCATCTCGGCTACGACGAGATCAACCACAACTGCTGGCTCTCGGATGCAGGCATTGCCGCTTATTTGCAGCAGCACAACCAGACAGTGGGTGACCTGCTTCTCACCTACTTCCAACGCCAACGCGCCCTGTTGGCCTCAGTGGCCGCCGACCGCCGCTTCATCTACTGGGAAGAAGCTTCTATGCAAGACCCTCAACTTCCCATCGAGTCCTCTGGTACGATTGACGTGCTGCGTTCTGAGACTGAAACCCCATAGCTTTTGGTTGTTTGCTTGGTTTTTATATCGGATTATTTTTTTTTCTTGTTTTTCTTGTTTTTTTTTTCACTTCATCTTGGGTACTGGCTGCCACCCGTGTATAGACGTGGTGCAAGTATGGAGCAACAAGGCAGCGTTACAGGCAGCTTTGGTCAACACGAGTGCCGATGTGCTCATCAGTTGGTGAGTCAAGGTCCTGTCACCGGCATTCGACGCACAACTCTAGCCTGCTGTGTAGAAATGCTCACCTCTCCCATGCTGCATTTGACAGGTCCAGCAATGTCTATTTGGACTGTGGGGCTGGCAACATGTTTGGAGATGACTCTTGGTGCGGAATTAATCTTGACTGGGCTCCGCCTCTTGTACCGTTGTACTCACTTCCTTGATGCCCGTGCCGGGATGTCATGACAGGTGTGATCCTTACAAGACCTGGTGGACCATGTATAGCGCCGATCCCCTCAACGGCACGCTGCCCAATCAGCGGAGCCGCGTGCGCGGTGGCACCGCTGCCATGTGGGGCGAGCTTGCCACGCCGGGCGTGGTGGTGCCCCGCACCTTCCCTCGTGCGACCGCTTACGCTGGACGCCTTTGGGATTATTCCAATGTCCTCAGCCAACGCGACGCTGGTATGATTTCTCTCGCTCGCAAGCGGGAAGAAGAGCAATTTTATCAACTCGACCTGATTGACCTCATACCCATGTTGATGCTCGAGCAGGTATTGCGCTGGACCAACAGGCACAACGCATGGCAGACCGTGGGTTGCCCACCAGCGGTGTCCTGCTGCCCTTTTGCCGCTACCAACCCGACCTTTGCTTTGCTGACATGTAACGTGAACGCATGCCCACCCCTTTCATACCGCCTTCCATTCCAAACGGTTCCGCCATCACTTGCGCACCGACAAGCGCTGCATCTCTTCTTTCCTGCTTCTTCTTTTCTTTTTTTTTTTTTTTTTTTTTTCGCATCACGATGGTCAATTCATTTCCACCACACGTTCACCAAATTCACATGTCAATTCACATGTCGAGTTCAACAAGAGAGAACCAAAAGAAACGGCCACAAAAGAAAGAAAACAAAAGACAGTCAGAGAAACGCTTGAACACGTGTTGTTGTTGTGTGTGTGTCAAGTGTAGTATAGATAAAGTCAAGCTTGTGGTGGTTGGTTCCTTCAAGCACACACCGGCTGACGCACGGCAGTTTTTTTGCTCTGCATCCCAGACACTTGGGCATCGGATTGCACTTGGCGGTCGGCTGGATAATCCTTCCTGTCGTGTGCCAACGCCTTGTGGATGTGGCATTGTGGATTGATCGCGCGTCGGTGTGTGCTTTCGATCGCCACCTCCCGCTCCCTTGCCGCCCTGCCCACAGTCCAGCTTCAACGACGTGACTTGGCCGTTCAGCTCAAGCCCAAAACCATGCCCAAGAAGAACTTTCGCCAAAAGGGCGGTCGCAATGGTGGCGGCCGCAATGGCGGTGGAAACCGTGGCTCTCGCCCCCAGACCCACGTTAGCGGTCCCCGCGTAAGTTTCAACGTCACTCGGTGCTATCCTGTCTCTGTCACCTGCACGCTCACCATTTGATAGTTCCTGCTTGACAAGACGATGGGAATTGACATCGTTCAGTCTCACTCCATCTTAATCTGGACCGCCCCTTTGACAGCGCGATGCCCGGGATACCTTGATTAAGGAAAACGAAAAGTTTGAGACGTACTACAAGGTTCGTTCGAACCCTCGGTTTGCATTGCGCACCTCTACCTGGTGACTGAGGGTCGCGTTGTTTCATGTCTGCTTGATTTGGCATGCACATCGTACCCCTAGGGGCTTGGCATCGTTCCCGAAGCAGAGTGGGACGAGTTCATGACCACGCTCCGCAAAACTCTTCCCGCAACCTTTCGCATTACTGGCACTCGCAGGTAGGATATGGCCATACCACGACTCTCGTGCGGGTTCTTCTTGCGCGCTTGGATCCTAGCTCACTTCTCCAACGATCATGCTCCCTAGCTCGGCTCAAGAGGTGTTGCGTACTTTTGAGGACAAGTACTTTCCCCAAGTCCAAGATGTGGTCCTCTCGGATGGCACCCGGATCCCTCCCCCGCGTCCCATCCCGTGGTATCCCGACGGCATGGCCTACCACCTGACGGTGCGATGCGCTCGTGATGCTGACCTCGGCAAGTAGGGTGATGACCTATTGCTCATCGTGTCTTGATGCTTGTGCGTCTCGTATCCGCGCCTCTTAGACCTCGCGCCAGTTTATCCGCAAACATGCGGGTCTTTCCCAGCTCCATGATGCTTTGGTCATGCAAAGTGAACAGGTGCGAAACTAGCCCTGCTTGTTCTCGAGCGCCAGTGTTCGGCCAAACGCCAAAGTTCACTCCGCGCATTTTGTGTGCGGCTTTCGTGGGTACAAGGGTAATATCAGTCGCCAAGAAGCCGTTTCGATGATCCCGCCGCTCCTTCTCGATGTCAAGCCCAATCAGCGTGTTCTGGACATGTGTGCCGCCCCGGGCTCCAAGACTGCCCAGATCATTGAAGGCGTGTCTGCCACCGACGAGACCGTTCCTCGTACGTTTCGCTTTCCACCCCACCGGGACCGCCTTGACTCTGAAAGCAGAGGATGGGGCAGGCAGGCAAGATTTTCGTGTTGCTTTTGTTAATTTTGACACGCACACCTCCGTACGCAGGTGGTCTTGTCGTGGCCAATGACGCCGATTCCAAGCGCTGCTACATGCTGGTGCACCAAAGCAAGCGTCTCCAGGTGAGAACCTCAGTGTCATTTATCGTTATCCCTCTGTGCGAAGTCAAGGTTTCTCTCTTGTTACGTTGTTCGTTCCTTCGTTCTTCGGGGATTTCTCTTTTTTCTTCTTTCCGTTGTAAATGTAGTGGTAGTCGCGTCAGACCCTCGGCAGTAATTCTTCAGCTACTTGGGTGCTTGGTTTTTTTTTTTTTTTTTTTTTTTTTTTTTTTTTTTTTTTTTTTTTTTTTGGGACCACTTGAAGCGACCCGCCAACTTGGCTTTGCTTGTGCGTGCTCTCATGCGCCAGCTTACGCTCCTGTAGTCGCCCGTTTTCATGGTGGTGAATCAAGATGCCAGCATCTTTCCGGCCCTCTTCCTGGACTCCAAGGTGTGCCACTGCCCGCGATTATGCGTGCAACTTCCGCATTGGGTCGGTGCTTTAACTTGGGCGGCTCAATAGGGTGGAAACAGTCGTCGTCGCAAGTTGAAGTTTGACCGCGTCTTGGCCGACGTGCCTTGCTCTGGTGATGGTACCATGCGCAAGAACCCCGGCATTTGGCGCAAGTGGAACCCCTTTGATGCCACTGGGTTTGTTCTTCCCCTCGCAACGATCGCCAGCAGTCGCCAACCCCATGTGCGTTTTTGCCATTTCCAAGTCGCTTCTCACTTGCGCCACGTTGCTTCTGGTGGGACTGTTTGGCAATGCTCTAGTCTGCATCCCTTGCAGTACCGCATCCTGCGTCGTGGCATCCAGCTTCTTGAAGATGGTGGTTTGATCGTGTACTCAACCTGCTCGCTCAACCCAATTGAGAACGAGGCTGTTGTGGCAGAGGCACTTCGCCAACACGAAGGTGTGGACGAGTACAAGACACACCACTCCTTCTCCACTCCTGTTGACCTTTGCTCGCTTCTCACATTATTCGTTTGTCATTCAATCTCCCCCAGGCCTGGTGGAGCTCGTGGATGTCTCGGATCAACTTCCGGGCTTGGTGCGCGATCCAGGCATGACTTCATGGAAGTTGATGGTATGTCTATCAACTTGGTCTATCAACTTGATCGTCGACAGAACAAGAACAGTCGCCGCGATTTTTTTTTGTTGTTGTGTATTGTTGTTCTTGTTGTTGTAACCTTGTTGCGGCGCTTTGCTACTGCTGTTGAATCAACAGGATAGGGATTGCAACTGGTATTCTTCCACAAGTGAGATGCGCCCGGATTTGCGCAAGCGTGTAAGTCGTGGGGCTCTGGCATGCAATTTGTGGCCAACAACAGCTTGCGCTTGTGACCCCTTTTGCCTTTTTGCTCAATTTTCATACCGCTGCACCTGTGTTTGGACCTGTCTGGTGTCTGTTTATCCAACGCCTCAGTTTCCCGACAGCATGAACCCTCCTACCGCTGAAGAAGCTGCCAAGTTCCACCTTGAACGCTGCCTGCGTCTCCTGCCGCACGCCCAGGACACGGGTGGCTTTTTTGTGGCCGTGCTGCGCAAGAAGGTGCGCTTGCTTTGTCACCGGTGTCAGCCGACTATGTTCTGCATTGGCATACAACAACATGCTCGAGTCTCATAGCACGTGCCATGACCTCGACATTCGTCTGTACGCAGGGCGCTGCCTCCGAGGAGGGTTCATCCACTGCTCGTGGCTCGCCGACCCCCGATGCCGAAGAGAATGCCAGTTCTTCGGAACCCGCCAAGGGTGAGTGATATCTGCTTTGGGGGGCGTGGCCCCGCTGAGGCGTCTTCTCAACAAAAACTCGGCATCCAAGAGCCCATCGTTTGACTGGCACTATTTTCTGTGCCTGGCAGGCCAACGTCCTTACTCAGAGGAGCCCTATTGTTTCCTGGATCAAGACGCTGAACGCGAGAGCATGATGGCAAATATCCGCGAATTCTACGGTCTGGCTGACGACTTCCCGTGGCATCTGGTCATGCTGCGAGGTCAGACGAGTGGCAAGAACCGCCATCTCTATGTCGTGTCTGAGGTCACGCGCCACCTCATTGAGCACAATGAGGATCGTGGCATCCGGGTAAGCTGCGCATGACCCGAACGTTTTGCTGATGCTCTACCTCTGGGCCGATAAACCACTTGAGAGCTCGCTCGATCGATGCTGTGGATTGGGTTGAGCAAATACGTTTGGTCTGTTCCAGCCCTTTCTTGGCCCTCACACAACCGTGTCTACCGAAACCCAGATCGTGAACACTGGTGTCAAGGTGATGACACGCACGGACTCGTCCAGCAACACATGCCCCTATCGCCTCTGCCAAAGCGGCCTGTCCACGCTGCTGCCGTTTGTGACCAAGCGTGTTTTTGAGGCCACGGCTGAGGATCTGTTTGCCATCCTGCGCGATGATGCGCCATCCATCTTCAAGCTGTCTCCCAAGCTGATGCAGAACTTTGGTGACTGCGGTGTGTAGCTGTCGCCCAGATTCATTTGTATTCATGTCATTGCGCCGTGTACCTCTACCGAATCTCTAGTCGCCCCATCTCCTCCTCCCCCACCCCACACTACCCCCTTGCTTTGAGATTCTTCGTGAGTAAATCATTTCCATATGTTTTGTGTGGCACGTCTTGCCATGGTTGTGCGACCCCTGCAGCGGATGGAGCTGTGGCTTTGGTTTTGCGCGCTGGAGAGCTCAACATGCGTGGACAGCCGTCAGCCTGCGATGTCGTGGTACGTTCATGTTCCCGATGGTGTGTTGGGTTGCAAATGCAATGGTTTGTGTTGACTTTCCGCATACTTGCTGGCACTTAGTTGGCTGCCTGGCGCGGCCGCCGCAACGTGCGCTGCTTGGTCAACAAGCAAGAACGCTTGCACTATGAATTGCTGCTGGGCGCCGACATGTCGGAGGCACACCGCGCCAACTCCCGCAAGCGTCCCACTGACCAGGGCCCGCCCAGTCATCCGAACAGCGACCAGGGTCGCACTGCAGGTGCGCCTCCGGCCAAGCAAGCCAAGCAAGCCGAGGAAGCACCGGCCTCTGGCATTATGTCGTACTGTACCATCCAGTAACTTGGCAGATTCAGCCCCGTTCTCACTTGCTCGCACGTCTTTGTGCTATTGTTGTTGTCGTTGTTACCTGTCGGCTGGCCTCTGTGCCCATCCTCTCACGTTGGAATGAGGCTGTTAATTGATGTGTTTTATCTGACTTGCGATGTGCCTTGTCGCGCCTTTTTATTTTTTTTTTTTGTTTTGCTTTGGCTTGGACACGCGCTAGTTTGGGGTCTGAGTTTGGCGCATGGATCTTGATCGTTTTTACAATTTTCTGCAAGATACAGGTCCACATGACACTTTGACATGATGTAGCGAACCCTTTCAAAAGTAAATGGCACCTCAAGGTCAAAGCCTTTGCGGCGTATGTAAAACATCATACAACGCAGGAAGAATGGGCGGCAACAAATCGAGGGGGCGGCACCAAGGCAAATAGTGCATGACACAGCGAAAGATGGCAACTCGGACGGCAAGTGTATAAGAAGAAGAGGACGCTAGGACCCCCTCGAAACGACAACAGTGAAACGGATGGGTATTCACTTGCGTGTCTATGGGTTGGAACCCGAATTTGTCCAATCATTCTCCTTTTGGACCTGAGAGGGAGCCACGAAAAGCATATGAGCACACCAAGCCGTCTGACCAACAAGGTAGCGGCGCCTGTGAACAGGGTTGACACGCACCCGCTCCTCCTCCTCGGGGGTAAAGTCGTTGCGAATGTTGAACTGATCCCGAATCTCCTGGGGACCCTTGTTTTTGATCATGCTTGCGACGTGTTTGCATGTGAGGTCCAAAAGTGACTTGATGTCGAGAAAGTTGGCAGCCTGCAACCGCAGGGTCAAGTGTACCAGCAAATGCATGTGAGGGACCAGTGTATGCCTGGCAAGTCCAGACTCGGTCTGGCACCGTGCTTGCTTTCGGTTGAAATGCACGCGATACGAACCAGGATCAGATGGAAGAGAGTGCCCTGGTCCATGTCACGGACAAACTCAGCGTCAAAGCCTTCGGGCTCGTCATTGTCGACGTGCGCCAGGTCATCATCGGGTTGCGGGTCATCATGCTGATGCTCCGTGCAATACTCAATCACCTGACAGGGGCAAGGGGAGGGAGGCCGATGTGGTCAAAGGAAAATCCAAGTAGCCAAAGCCGCTTGTTTTAGGATGTTAGGATGACAGCAACACCAAAGCTGACCTTTTCCAAAATGCTGCCCGACACATTGGGCAAGGGGATGGGGGACTCATCGCTGTCGCCCAAGCCCAAATCTACGACAACCGACCACAGGTCACAAGTTTAAGACGGAGCCCGTCAGGTTGTGATTGAGCGCGTTGCGGGAGCGCATAGTTGTACCTTCGAGCATGTTCTTGATAGTGACGCTCATGCCGACAATCTTCACGGGCACTTCAAACTCCTTGTCATCAGAGCTGCGGAGCTTGACAAACTTTTCAGAGGTCGTCATGGTAGCTGTTGTGGCTTGAACGGTCACAGTCTGAACAACAAATGGGGCAGCGGGAGCATAGACCGGTGTGCCGAAAGAATGCACTGCCGCTCTAAATGCTCTGCAAAGACCACAAATGAGCCATGAAGATGATGGTAAGCACTGTCACGACAACGAGCAAAGCAACAGACTACGGGCCCATCCCCAGTTTGTGCCAACAAATCCCAGCGCCAGCGAGTCTAAAGGGCATGCCACAAATGCATTCCAGGCCCACGCCTCTGTTGTGGTGGACCACTGCCACCCTTTTCATCCACAAACTCGGCGTGCCCTTTGGCATAGGCAGGCAGCATTGACCCGGTGCAGCTGGCGGGCAGGCACGACCCAGCAGCAGCAGGTGTCGCACATACCAGTCAGTCTATAAAATTGGTGGTGGTGGTGATGATGCAAATGGGTGCCAAGATGACCAAGACCAGCTTAAGCTTTGAACCTTATTTAGACGAAAGGTTGTTTAGTTTGGAGGGGGTTTGAGACACAAAGTGAGCGCGCAGCGCCCATGGCATGGCGAGAACAGGCAGTGGAGCACGGATGGAACCACCCCACACAAACACACACACACACACACACACACACACACACACACACACACACACACACATGCGCGTTTATATAACACATATTATGTCCCGGGGAAGGGAAGCTTTAGCGGAAGCGAATTTGAAAGGTGCGTACAAAGTCGGGTGAGCGAGAAATGACGTGTTGAAACTCAATGAGCGAGATGCGCTGATCTCCGTCGACGTCAGCCTCCTCAATCACGTTGCGTACAATGTCGTCGACATCAACCTTAGTCCAGGCATTGTTCTTGGCCCCCACGGTCTTGGCTTGATCATAGGCTGTCAACTTTTGTAAAACGTGCTTCAAATCACGCTGACCGAGGAAGAGGTCGTTGTCGTAGTCGTAGATCCGAAAGGCATACTCAGCCTTCACTTCGCGCGGCGCAGCTTCAGAGAAGACGGACAACATGTCCAAAAAGTCGACGAATCCCATCTCCGTCGCGTCCATGTCTTTGGAAAAGACCTGACAGATGCGCTTTCGGAACGGATTGGCATGCAGCCCCTCCCACTCGCAAATCTGTCTCACACACACGCATTGGTTGTGGTTGTTGATGATGATGATGAAGAGGATGGCGATGACAATGATGATGATATGTTTGACGAAAAGCGAATCGTGCCATGAGCTAGCGATGTCACGCATCACACCCACCGAGCAGATCGCATTCACGACCTGCTTCCCCTCGACCTTGGGGGTGCCGCATTGATGACGGTGGCCTGAGACGTACCGCGGTGTGCGAAAGGGACTCTGCCTTGTTGTTGCCAGCCTTGGCATTGAGTTCGATCCAAAGCTTGTGTACTGCAATGATCTCGTTGCGCGTGAAGAAGGTACACTTTTGATACAAGTCAAGATCCTGTTCGGATATCTTGCTGTACGCCCCGCCCATCTTGATGTTTGAAGTCGGCACACCCCTCCCTGTGGGGCACCAGCACCAGCAGTTCAGTCAAAGGCCGTGAGCACCGCCGCCACAGTCCGTCAGACACGTTGCACCCATTGCAAAGCCACCCGACCCACGCCAAACATCACCAACAGCCACAGAGCGCACCGAGCCGCGCTGCCGAATACCAACCTGATGCGGCGTCGCGTCCTCCTCAACAACGACAAAACAACAAAAATAACAACAATCCCGCGCGCACCAGCACAAAGGCTGGTTTTTGCTACATCTTCTTGAATTTTTATGTACTTGTATCAAGGCATCTTTCGTAGCATACCTGCAACATCCAGATTTACTCCTTCAACAACACCATCCACGACACAATGTCAGAGTATTTTTGGGGCAATGATGGCGACCCGTTGACTGCGTTCGTGTACCGGAGCCACTTCTCCCTTTTTTTTTCCTGAGCCCCAACACGCCCCAAGCTCGAAGAAGCCTCACACGCACACGCACGCACACGCACGCCGATCTGCTCGATAAAGGGAGTGTGTCCGATGTGAGCCAATTACCAAGGCGCCCCACATTTTTGAACCCATGCAAGCCGGTGCGAAACCCAAATCCACGTCAAGGCTACCCCTTTTATTTTGGTGACGCCCTCGGCCGTCGCCGCGCGCCTGGATACGTTTCGCGCGAGAGGCGTCCAGCGATTTGTAGTTTGACAGTTGATTCGGGGTAGCTTTGAGCCCGAATCGATCAAGTCCCGCCATGACGGTGGTGCCGAGCGCTCTCGGCCACGGCCGAGCCCCTGCCGCCCGCACCCGCTGCAACCTTCTTCACACCCTAGATGAGGAGGCCAGCTACCGTCTCGCCAGCACGGCCCATGTCAAAAAACAGAGCTCGCAGCTGAGCGATTCTGACGAGACATACCACCCCCTCATCTGGCACCGGTCAGGATCGCCCGCCCTTCCTCTTGGCAACTCACACCTTTTTGTCCCATCCCACCCCGCACACACAACGCACGCCTGCTGTCTACCACTCCTATCATGCATGACAGCCCTCTCTCATCTCAAATTCCTACCCGTAGCTCTGCGGGCGGTGTGCTCCCTGGCGCTGCCGGAGCTGGCGCTGAACTGCTGGACAGCCTGTGTGTCTGCATCTCTACCCCAAATGACTCCCCCCGACACGCGCTCATGCTGGTCACCCTGGACAGTGACGGCCAGCTGCATCTCCGAATCATCAACGAGGAGAGCCACTCCGCCCAAACCCTTGTTTCTCGCCACATTCCCGTCGCGACGAGTCGGATAGCCACTCTGCTGGTGGGTGTTTGCGCTGTAACGCTCAAGCTGTTTCCGTCTGTTGATCATCAGAGAGACTCCCATTGGTCCCCTCATGACCTTGTTGCTCGCAATGCTGCTGCTGCCGGTGATGCTCATGATGCTGCCCCTGTCCCCAATCCTCTCGCGCTTGTACACCAAACTTCAGCAATGGAACGCAGCAACGAACCGCCTTCTAGTAGCCGGTGCTGACATGACGCTGTTGGTTCAGCTAGTCTGGCAGGACAATGGCGCTGGCTGGCACGCCACTGAGACCAGCACGCCTGCAACGTCGGGCCAGATTGGCTGGGTGGGCCGTCGATGGCTGGCGATGCGACACGGCTCACAGCTTCAATATTGTACTGTGGAGACGAACCCAGATAGCACACTGTGCGTGTCGGGTGCTATTGAACGCTTAGAAGACCGCCCACTGGATTACCGCCATCTACTGCCTCTTCCCGGAAATGAGGACCACGAACACGGCCCAGCCTTGTTGGTCTTGGGCGAGCCCTGCGTCATCAGTCAATATCGATCCGAAGCCGCTGATCTTTTTCTCGCACCAAACAGTCTGCCCGCGAGCTCTGACCAGGGGCTCGTCGGCGTGCAACCAGCCTCCAAAGCTCAGGGGCTTGAGCCACCGTTGCTACGCCCAAGTACTGACACGCATCGCTCTCCTGTTGATCAACGTACGTTACACCTAACATGTGCTTTTTTATTCTTTTTTTTTTTTTTTTTTTTTTTTTTTTTGGTTACACACACTTCAAGGAAAATAAACCCACCCCTCGCTCACCTTGGTCTGCTCCATCACTGCCACCACAACCACGCGCGCATACACCCCTCTCTGTTTCTTCCCACACAAACTTTGTTCTAACCAACGCCATGCATGTCATGACTAAACGCGATGCGATGATTAATAAATTAGTACGCTTTGCCAGGCGATCTGTGGGGTCGATTGGGACCTCGGGCATCCTCCTGCTCGAAAGCAAGGAAGGAGGCAAGCACCCAGACGCACAGGCCCACCACATGGCATTCCCGCCAGAATTGGCGGCCATTGATGGTGTGGCCTGTACTCCGGCACGACGAGCTTGGGCTTGTTACTGCAACTTGGACCATCGGGTCTTTGTAGCTCTGACTGATTTGCCCAACGCCACCGAGTGGTTCCAGCTCCAACTACCCGCAGCACAGCCCATCTACGGCTTGGCCTTCTCCGGCTCTCGCTTGGTCTGGAGTGAGCGGCAAACGGCATCACATTCGTCTGCTTCGGACGGCATGGCCGACGCGATGGCCAGTCTGTTTCCTACCAGCAGTCGCCAGGATAGTACCTTGGCCCACTTCACGGCAGAGGTAGCCCCCTTGCTACCCCCTGAATCTCGCTTAGCCTGGTATGCAGCCCTGCAACGGTCGGCCTCGCGCAAGGAATCACCCGTTCGCACCAGTCAAGCAGGCTTCGGCAAGAGCACGAACAAGTCCAGAGCCAGAGCCAGAGCCAAAACGTCCACCCAAGCTGTAGGAGCCGGGCAAGCCAATCTGCTGACCAAAACTCAACCCGCGACGAACTGGACCCCCGTACACATCCAGTCACCAGCTAACGCCCAAATCGAGTTGGTTGTGAACAGAGCTGAGGCGAACCCCAGCCCACCCATCAACGAAGCGACTGTGACTGCACGTGCACGGACCGCACGGACAGATGAAGTCAGCACGCCCACGACTGATGGGATGGTTGAGGCCAACAAAATAGCCACTGATACCAACACAACCGCCAACGCGCCAACCACCGTTGTCACGGAGGCCCTCGAGGGCGGTGCCACCTCAAGACACTCCTCCCAAAGTGGCTCCCCTTCGCCGACCCCAAGAAGCAACAAAACACCTTCTCCGACCCCACCGGCCTCACCCACACTCATGCGGCGCACGATAGTCCCGCCCAAGAGCAGCTCCAACGAGGAGTCTAGCTTTGAGTTGCGCCTTCCGGGCGCTAGCCTCCTGCCACCCCTGGCTCAAGAACCAGGGCGTGCGGGCATCGTGCTCTTGGAAGAACCGAGCAAGCCCGCCACGACCGAGTCCTCGGACCACCGCGCCTGGTTGCAGCAGATGATGGGTGCTCAGTTGCGACGCTTTGAGCAACGCATGAACGAGCGCGTTGATACGTTGGAAGCAAACGTGGACGCTCGCTTGGGGCGGCTGCAGGACTCATTGGACCTCCTCACCCTGTTGGTACAGCGAGGAGGGGGCATGGGCAGTGAGAGGCAAGAGCAGCCATAAGAAACTCAAGACGTTTGTGCCTACGCAATTGGCTGCTGCGCAACTTGAACAATTGAGGAAAAAACCGAAAGGAACACGCACTATCAAAAACCCAATAATATGACCAGGTCTGAAGGACCTTCACATCAAGGAAGAGGGAAGCATTTCGATACACACCGTCGTTTCGGGCGCAGAGGTTGTGGGCCGCGACGATACGAGGGCGGAGCTCGGTTCCCGGGGCAGGGCTGCGTCGGCTGCGACACACAAGTCGCGGTACAGTCAATCAAAACAGCGCAGGAAGGACACATGCATGCTTGCAGTGTACGAGGGGGGGTTTAAAAAAACAACCTCAAACGTACAGATGTGACGGTCGAGGAAGGCAGCGCTAGACACGGGCCAGAGTTTGAGAACGACACGTGACTGTATCAGTCCCATGCAGACGGGACCGTAGGATCGCGAATCAGTACTATTGGCCAAATTGTCGCCTTGCAGCCAAACGTGATTGCGAGGCACGGTTCGAAAGCGCCGCATCCGTTCAGTTGGGTTGACACACACGCGGTCACCGGGCTAACAGCAGAAACGAAAAAAAGAAAAAAAGAAAAAAAAAACAATGAAGATAGGGGAGGGTGCCACAAGAGGCAGTGGGTGACCAAGGAACGGGACCAGCAAGGATATGAAGTTTGTGGTGAAGACAGTATGATCACAGGTACATGTCTTGCCCACGGAGTCAACAAGGGAGTCCACAGACCATGCCAATGATTCGCTTGCAAACATATTTGCTAGCATCCCGGGGTGCAGTGGCCACAACAACATCTCCTCTGCAGATGGGCGCACCAACATCCAAACCGCGGGCACAGTTTGTCAGAGGCCAGCGTGTGCGGGGTGTGAAAATGATGTGCCCACCAGGTTGCCACTGACTTTTGCAGCTTGTTGAAGCGAACACTCAGCTTCTCTGTGACCACGACGTCGCCATGCACGCTGAGTGTGGGGAGCATGGAAGGTCCTGTACACTGTACGGCAGGCAGGCAGGCAAAACCAGTCAGCACCGACAATTTATTCACAAACATGCTGCTGTATGATGTGAGCAAGCCGGGGATAGCCTGGAAACGTACGATGGTGATGTCGCCCACGTACTCCTTGATGACGAGCGCCCACAGGGTAACGGGCAAAGCAGTGCGCAGCACCTCCATTGCAACATTGCGCCAGCCATGTGCGCTCTGAGACCCGCCCTCCTGGCCATGCGAAGTGGGGGGTGCGGCCGTGCTATTCACCCGCCGCTGCGCCCCACCACGATTCAGATCTCGCAACACTCCATTGGCTTGCCGGCCCACTAACAAGGCCCACCGTGCCGCTGCCATCTCAACCAAACGAAAGCGAGCTGCCACCAACAACGTGTGTGTGTGTGTGTGTGTGTGTGTGTGTGTGTGTGTGTGTGTGTGTGTGTGTGTGTGTGTGTGTGTGTGTGTGTGTGTGTGTGTGTGTGTGTGTGCGTGGCTGCTACGGAAGAGCGGAAAATGCGGTTATGTCCACTGCTTTCGCGTTGAAAAGTCTTGACGTTAACAACAACTGTTGTGATCATTTCGTGTTGTCAGATAAACATCATAATTTCTGTGCATGCATGCATTCTGCCACAGTGCGCAATCGTCGCTTGTGGCATGAGGAGGTTGTCCGGGCGGGCACCTCCGTTGACCGGACACACGATCATCATTGGTGTTAAAGCACGGCATTCAGATGCTTCACCACCACCATCATACATAACAGGATCAGTTTGCTAGAAGCAAAACACGGTTTATGAGCTTTTGTTGGTGTTGCTTGCACGACAAAGCGCAACCGTCAGGTCCGTCAAGGTGCAGTTGTTACTGGAGCTGGCAGTGCAAAAACCTGCTCGTTCCAGCCACAACTTGAAGCAGATTGCATCGTGGCACCACGCGCCTTTGGTTGTGCCGAGCTGGGCTGATACACTTGCAGTCTTTTCTTGGCAACCTCTGGTTCTTTCTTCCCTGACCACCCGCCGGTAACGGTAAGGCGCGCTGCCCTGCTACTCAGCCATCCCCCCCCTCCACGTTCTCTCTCACCCATTGACCCCTGACGCAACACTCTTGGCTCGGCCCGGTGCTCCCTCGTGCCCAGCATCGTAGATCATGACTGCCGCAGGCCGTTTGGCGCATTTGTGTGCCACCAGCGCCATGCTTTATCACGCCCTGTTGCTGGCTTGCTGCCTCGCCGCCCTCACGCTGCCCTCGGGAGGGATGGGCGCCGGCGACCTCTTCACCTCCAGCGCCAACATTTATCAACTCTATTCCGTGGAGAAGAACCTCGCCAGCGACCTCGAAACGCTCATCAACGACCATCAGGTCAAACTCGACCATCTGCGCCTCGTGGTTCAGCAACTTCGCGACGCCCCCCAGCCTGCGGATGACCTCCACCTGAGCCCAAAGGAGAGCTTCTCCGTCATTGAGCGTCTGGTATGTCCGTTTCACTTGGCAGTTGCATCGCCACTCTGTATCCTTCCTTCGGTCCTCAGGGGCCTCCCATAGACCCCGGCTTTGGCTGCTGGGGCATTGCATCGCATTGCCGACTCACATGGTGGTGGCCATACCACGTACTCTTTACGCAGCGCAACAGCGTCGCCGCTGTTGACGCTGTCTGGTCCAGCCAGGTTGCTGATCGAGTGCACAACTTGACCAGCCATGACATGATTCCGTCGGATGAAGACCTGGCGGGTGCTTCGGCTGCTTTGCTCCGTCTCCAGCGCACCTATGAAATGGGACCCGACTCCCTCATGCCGAATGCCTCAGTCAGCGCTTACCATCGCATTGGGCGCCAAGCTTACAAGCAAGGCGATTACGCCTCGGCTATTGATTGGTTGGCACAAGCTGCCGACCTGACCCAGTCTGCCAAGGAGCGAGCTGAGATCTTGGACTACCTGGCCTTTAGTCATTTTCAGGTGGGCGACCTGCAAGCCGCCCTGGACCGATCCGCTCAGCTGCTCGAACTACAGCCTGATAACGGTACGTGTCAGGCAGCTGACTTGAGGAACATGTGTTGTGACAAGAGTCGTGTCAATGCACACCGTGACCGCCCCGCTTGGCAGGACGTGTGACAGCCCACTCACTGATGTCCGGGATCTGTTGGAACGTCATGAACAGGCCGTGTCTTCAAAAATGTTGAGTACTACACCCATCAGTTGCACAAGGCATCCAATGGCACCAGTGCCTCGGGTTCAGTTCGAGTGGCCCGCAAAGCCAACTACAGACCTGACAATGTCTTGGGGCGAGACGAGCGAGAGCTGCTCAAATTCAACAAGCTTTGCCAGGGTCGCAAGATATACAAGCCCTCCAAGCCTCTCTCTTGTCGGTTGCAACACTTCAACAAGCCGCATCTCTTTCTCAAGCCGATTCGAGTCGAGTACGTTCACGAGGGCAACAATCGTCTACAGGTTGGTCCGACCCTACACCACTCTGAACATCAGGTTGCGCATGAGGCCGCTACCACCCCTGCCACCAACACGCGCACACAAATACAGAGTTGCTTTTCAGCGCAACATTTGGTGAGACACTGACTGGGCTTCCTTACTCATTTACACCCACCATCCAACCACAAACTAGATCTTCCGCAACTTTGCATCAGCCCAAGAGTGTGCTCACCTGCGCGAAGAGGGTCGCAAGAAGCTGAGTCGGGCTGTAGCCTGGACTGACGGCGCGTTCCGTCCGGTGGAGTTTCGTATCTCTACCGCAGCCTGGCTGCAGCCTGATCACGATGATGTCGTGACCAATTTGCATACGCGCATCGCCGACGCCACTCAGCTGGATCTGGAGTTTGCCGAGGCTCTCCAAGTGTCCAACTGTACGTTTCTTTGCAACGCTCCAAGCGGCTACGCCATACCTCCTTTCGCTTGGCTACAACTGAGCAGATGAAGCATGATTGTGTATGTCGCGCTCACCAACGTCATGTGTGTCGGGGCGGGGGGGGGCATGGATCTTTGAACGTGAACGAGTAGACGGTATTGGTGGCTTTTATGAGACGCACTATGACCACCACGCCAGCCGTGAGCGCGAGCTACCCGAAGGTGATCGCATCGCCACCTTCATGATCTACCTGAATCAAGTCGAGCAGGGGGGCTACACCGCCTTCCCCCGCCTGGGTGCTGCCGTGGAGCCGGGCCACGGTGATGCGGTTTTTTGGTACAATCTGCTGCCGGACGGTGAGAGCGACAACAATACGTTGCATGGTGCCTGCCCCGTCTTGCAAGGCTCCAAGTGGGTCGCCAACAAGTGGATTCACGAGAAGAAAAACGACATTTGTCGACCCCTCGCTTGAATCAATATACCAAAGACTTGACTGTTTTCCTCTACGTTTCCTGTGCTGGCTGCGTGAAAGCACTTGGAACCCGCCTTGATGGCTGAGTGTGCGGCGCCGGGCGCCCCTACCTCACCTTCTGCTTCCCCATCCCGCCCTCTACAAACACGGGGAGCGGAAGATCCATGTCGTTTGCCAAATTGACCTCGTGCCCCAGCTCTGAAACTTTTGCTCTAATCACGTGTTGCTTTTTAAGGGAACAAAGCAACACTAAGCAAAGCATGGATACGCCCTGCTCCATTCCCAATGCTTGGCATCAACGCTCATTGGGCATGTTAATGATTATGAAGAAAAGCAATAGTCAAAGTGAAATCAGGTTGATGTCAATTACATTAGACCACGGCCAGTTTGCTGGCTTTAGTGGGTTGGACGCGAGCCGGGGCTATCGAAAAAACGCGCCTGATGGTTGGAGGAGCGGGACTCTAGTCGCCGCACAGTCGTTCCTCCCAACCAGGCTGTTTCGCGAGGCACCGCATCCAAAGAGGTGTTAAGGCAAGCTGAGACGTCAACAAAGAAAGAAATATACGCGAGTGCTGAACCAGGCACTCGGAGCTCGCATATGCCGACAGTAAAGAAAAAAGGGCGCCACACAGGACAACCAAGCAACACAAAAGTAGGAGAACAAAATGTGGGAGATCATGTGGCCAAAGAGGCTGGCTATGTCACTGCAAAGAAGGACAAGCCACTTTTTTGCACACCCCCTCAGGCAGCAGGCAAAACGCCGCGCTCAAAAAGAGTTGAATACAAGAGCTGCCAGCCGCACTCGGTACGGTTGCAACAAGCTAATTCACAAGCACACCAATTGCCAGGGCAAACGTAGTTGGACACCCGGCACCAAAAGACATGAAACACTCGGATAGAGACACGCCAGTCGCTTAACGACTCGGGTCGCGACAAGAGAGGCGACCGCATGGGTTAGAAAGAGGAGAGGGCGTCGCACTGGAAAAGACCAGCCAGCACGCACGCACACACACACACACACACACGCACACACGCATTTGCACACATCAACAGAGCCCCCACAGGGGGATTGAGTACAGGTGGGACGCGCCTGACTCAGCACCTTGTTTGGTACGGCCAGTTGATTTGACCCTCGATGCAATGGCGGACGCTCTTTTCAAAGCGGCAGTGCGCGCAGGCGGTGCACGCACAATCAGCTGAGGGTCCACCAGCACAGGCACAGCGCGTGTCGGCCTTGCGGAACCGGGTTCGGCGAACCCATTGCAAAAAGGCGTCGGGGTCAGCACTGGGATGACGCGCAAACTCATCGAGATAGAGTTTGCACAGCGCTTTCAAGCGTTGGCGGGCGCCCTCCTTGGACTGGAGGCGTGGTGTCTTGCCCTTGGTCTTGCGAGCGGAGGGTCGCCGGCGAGAGGCAGTCGTGGTGTGCTTGCACGTGGGCACAGTAGCCGAGTTGGATCTTGAGCAAGACTCTGAGCTGGCCACAGGCGCGGGTGTGGTGGGAACCTCCATGGACGTCAGTGACGAGCGAGGCTCTTGGGCGTCGGCTCCACTGCCACTGTTGCAGGAAATGAGTTTGGCGCGCTTGGTGACGGGGCCGTCGGGCACGGTCATGGTGTCACGCGCGGGGCTGACGGCGCTACCACGGGCGGCAGGTGACTGGGAGGTCTCGGGCACGACTTGGGAAGGGAAGGAGGGGACGGGCAATGATGCTACCGAGGGGACGGCAGTGGGCACCATGGTGGGGGAGGGGATGTCCATGAGCGTGTTGAAGGAGAGGTTCCAGTCGAGGTCGGCAAAGGCCTGATTGCGGGTCGGCGTCAAAAGGCGCAGTGTGGGGGTGGGGGGGACGAGCTCGGAAGAATTCAGGCCAAAGGTGGCCCCAGACTGTGGCATGGGCAGGGCGCTGATGCGGCGCCCAAAGGCCTCGAGGTCTGGGTAGCTATTGTAGGCAACGGAGAAGGGCATGATGTTGGCAGGGGCAGTGGTGGTGGTAGGGGTGGGCAAGGACTCGCCCAGGCCGAGAAAGGCTGAGCAATCTTTCCACTGTGTTGTCGAGTCGCACGAGTTGCTGCTAGAGGGAGAGCCGGCTGGGGCCAGGTCCGAGTCGGAGTGATAAGCAGATTCGGGGCTCTGGCTGCCCTCAACCGACCACAGCGTGCGCATTTGCGTGGGTGCTTGACAGCCTGCATCGGCTGAGTTGGTGGCGATGAGATCGGTGAGCGAGTTGATGATGCCATCGGCTTCGCCTGCACCCATCATACTGCCATCGTAAGAGATGAACTCGTCGAGCTTGAGGCCTGGCTCAGAGTGACCAATGGGCGGGGCCATGGTGTTGGCCATGTTGCTGCTGGGAGCGTGAAAGACACACTCAAACGAGCTCAAGAATGTGTTCTGGCAAGCAGTTGGCTGCCAATTATATGCTAAAGGAACAACTCGTGCTGTCCTTGAGCCAAAAGTCAAAGGAGGAGGAGAGGAGAGGAGAAGGCAGCGTGTATGTGTGTGTGTGTGTGTGTGTGTGCCGGCAGCGAAGGTGAACAAGGTGGGTGGTGGATCGCTCGAGGTCGACCTAGAAAATGAAACCACCGCCGTGGCCAATGCATGGCATGGGATGAGTGCGGGGTTGCCAGTTGCTAGTGGTGGTGGAAGAAAAAAATTTAGATGCAGCTGCGTTTGCGGTGGTGGTAGTAGTGGTACTGGTAGTGGTAGTGTGGTGGTAGTGGTGGTACTGGTAGTGGTACTGGTGGCTGTGGTGGTGGCGGTGTTTGGGAGAAGAAGAAAAGAGTTGATGCTGGTGTTCTTGAAGATTTCCGATGGGTGGAGAAGAAGGAAGACATGGGTCAAAGCAAGCACACACTCTTTCCTCTCTCTCTCTCTTTCTCTTTCTCTTTCTCTTTCTCTTTCTCTCTCTGCGTTTGGGCGTCGCAATGGAACCGGTGACCCACATGCAAGGCAAGGGGCAGGTCAAAGGGGGGGTAATGTGAGAAGCGAGCAAGGTATGAACATCGCCATGGCATTGGTCAATCAGGACATGGTGGGGCGCAGCAGGTGTTGTGGCCAGGGTGACCGGTCATCATGAAGCCAGCGCTCAGCAGCGCCAACATCCGCAAACAGGGCGCAAGCAAGCGTAAGCAAGGGAGAGGGGCACGGTCGGAAATCAGGGACTACTTGACCAAAGTCATGGGACGAGCATGGGTGATTTTTTCGTGCAACGCGCTTGCCGCAAAGGGTTAAAATGCAGCCGCAACCGTGGGTGGTGATTGCAGCACGGAAAGGACAGAACGGCATCAACTGCGTGGAATCGATACCCTTTCCCCACACATGAAGCCGCAAGGAAAAGCTGAAGGAACATCGTGACGGTCCCAAGAAAACGCCAGATACGTTACAGACGCTCATGCGGAACTGAGCAGAACAACACTGATATGCGACAACGCGCCAATAGACAGCCGACAGTTTGTAGGAAAGCGACCCGCACGCAGACGTGCCACGCTTTCATCAATCGGAAAAAGGGGGAGAAAGTGTGATGAAGGCGAGCAAGATGTGCAGCCGCAAGGCCGCGAGCAAGATGCGTCAAGTGAGGAGGATTGCTTTCCCAGTCCTTTCTCGTGTCCCAGTTGGTTTGAACGAGACCTCACACAATGCCTTTGTGTTTGACGTTTCAGTGTGACAGGACGTCTTCCAATGCCCCGTGGGACAAGCTCACCTAATCGGTGCCTCTGCAACAGGGTGAGTGCATCGTTTCTCAATCCTCCATCGAGGGCAAGCGCGACGCCAGTGGGCAACTTGAAAGACAGACTCGCCAATAGCCCGATCGACACCCCCTTTGTGTGCCGGGCAAGGCGGCGATCTGAGGGGGCAAGACACGATCGATGACTGTCGATTGATTCAGAACTGGTGTTCGTCGGGCCTGGCGCCACCAACCAAGCGCCCAGTTGAAAGCGCACAGCCGAAAGCGCTAGCACCCAAAGTTAAACTTGCAACAGTCGGTAAATTTTCTAACAGATGGAGACGATATGGCGTGGCCGTCGGGACACTTTTGCAATCCATCAGGGGTGCGGCTCATGGGCGTGTGTCTTTGAGGTGGGGTGAGGGACTCTTTCCTGAAGGCCAGAGCGTCCTTCAAACACCATAATGTCATGGTCAATTCGGCTCGAGTTTGGCAACGAGCTGTAGAAGGATAATAAGAAGATGTAGAGAGAAAAAGGGGGACGCGGCACGGCACGCGCTGGGCAGGGATAGAATTGACTCAAAGCGACCAACGAAGAACGGCGCAGTTTGACCGACTGAACCTTAGACTCTACAGCCAGCCACCCAGCCGAGCCACGATCATGATCAATCTCGTCACCCACCAGAAACCCGCCAGAAGACACAGCCCCAGCCGCGCAGCGCCAGGGCATGGGCAAGACCTGCTGTCCCATAATCCCATGATAATCCCATGATATCTTGCCCCATACCAGACAACTTGGGTGACGTTTGTCCGCATGTGTGTCAGCAAGGTGTCAAGTTAACCCTATCCAACGGTAATTTGCCGCAATCATAAAGTTCATGAAGGTTGATGCACCGGTCCCTTTGTCTCCTAATCCTCCTGCTCCTTCTGATGATGATGCAGTCGAGTCGACATGTTGAGCATGCTCTGTTATGGGGGGGGCTGATGATGATGATTGACATGTGAGGGGTGACTGGCAGTCAAGGTGAGACCAACAGTTGATGGGAAGGAGCAACATGGCGTCGCGGTCCTTGGTCATCGGCGTTTCTTTGCGCTGCCATGGGACAAGAGCGGGAAGTACCTGCACGCGTGGCGTGTGAGAGGGCGGCTGCTGAAACAGAGGACTTCCAAGCCCTAAGCCGGATACGGTCAGAGACGAGCAGTCTGATCTTGACCACAAGGGATACAGAGCAAAACCGCACAGCTGATGTCTTGTTTTCCCTTGGACAGCAGCGCATCGGCGAGCAGCAAAGTACCCCAACCGCCACGGTTATGACTGTCTCGTGCCTCACATGACAGCTGGGACTCTCGCTTGCTCACAGATGCCACGCGATGGCAGTGATGATCAAGGCTCACCCCCCTTTTTCCTGATCGCAAGAGACCCCAGCGCGGCTGTGCATGACAGAGCCCCCTGCGCAAGACCGTGCCACTCCTTTCGGAGCTAGAGGTGCTTGCCATCAGCCATAACGAGACATTGCTTAGGAAGTTTTCGACCCTAATCTTAAGAATTCTAATTTTGACGCAGGCTCTATCACCATCTCGCTGCCACCCAAAAGAAGGCTGCTTGAGAAAAGCATCATTCTACTCGTGCTTGCTCACCCAGCCATGGCCAGCCCCGCCTCATTGAGCCGCGACTGGGCCAGCAGCAGATGAGGGCTTGAGTAGACTGCAGAGCTCGTCCAGTTGAGCTTCGGATACCTGCGCCGCCCGGGCCAGCGACTACACACCCACACACATACACCCACACACATACACCCACACACACGATGACATGACACGCCAACGTGAGGCCATTGGAAAAGCTTTAACCCGAGGACAGCCACACGAGCTACACCGCCTTTTGCTGTATCACTCGCTCACTCCCGAAATACAAACGGCACAAGGCGGTGGAAAGGACACACACCGTGACCGGGATGTCTGCTCCTTGTTCACAAAGGCGCAAAAGAACAGCCCCGAGAAGAAGCCGCTCTGCCGCATCCAAGACCAAGCCTTCAGCAGGCAGTCTGAAAATGCACGGTACACACATGTGAAAAAGCAGGAACGGTTCACGTGATGATGCATGCCTTGCACGTGGCGAGCAGCACACAGCGCACGAGTTTGCCTCGTTTGTCCCAGACAACAGTAAACCGAGCGGCGGCAAACGCACCGATACGAAGCTAATTGGCGTCGAATGGCCTGCAGCACCTCCATGGGTGGTTGGCCTACCGCTTGACCCAAAGTGCTAGCCCTGCATCCAGGCAAGAGGTCAGGTCACCAGTAAGTTGACAATGCTAGAAGCAAGCTTTGAGAACAACTGCTTCAAACCCAAAGCTCCCTTGAGCATGCCCACAACACTCAAAACACGTACGCGTCATTCAAAAGCGCGCTGAGAATTTCAAGCCGACGCTGCCGCTGATTTGTATCCAAGGTAGGCAAGATGAAGCGCTCCGTCAACCCATTCGCTTCGTTGGCCAATGCGCCAGCATATGGTTGTAGTGCCGCCAGCTCGCGCAACAGACGGGCCACACGTGTCAACCCATGTTCGCGCTCAGCCTTTGACTCTGAATTCGAATCGCTCGACGTCGCCAGCGACTTTGAGGTCTGTTCCTGGGAATCTGCCAGTGTCGTTGACGTGTTCGAGGGAGTTGTTGACCCTGTTGCCTTCGCTGCAGCCGCTACGGCTGCTTCGGCTTCTGCTGCTGCTCGAGCTCGGACTTGGGCTCTTTCTTGCTCAGCAAGGTCACGCATGGCATCCTCATATTCGGCCCAAATATCAGCCTCGGTCCACGTCTCGGGCCGATTTGATCGCGAGGGAGCCGAGCTCGTCGATGCTGACTGATGACCTGCCCCCTTGTTGGCTGGCTGCCCTGGTGTGGTCGTAGCTGTCGTTGTCGATAGTTCGGCTTTAGCACCTGGCTGGGGGGTGGAAGCTCCGGCTACATGCTCCTGCACGTCTCGAATCGGAGCGACTCGCGCCGACCCAGAAGGTGCGGGGTGTGGTGAAAGGATTTGGACTGCTGATAATCGTGCCACCAGCGCGTCAGGATCCATCCTAGAGCCAAGCCAAGTCCAAGATCCCAAGCAGGGCCAAAGCCAGAGGCAGCGCAACACAACACATGAGCACATGGCTGCCATCAAGAACACTCTTGAGTAGGATAGGTGATGGGTCCTGGAGCCAAAAAAAAAAAGAAAAAGTAGAGCAAAAGGAAAACCTCCGTCTTCTTCACTGCCTCCCATACCCGCTCTTACACACACACACACACACACACACACAGAGCAGGGCCACGGTCGTGTTGCATCAAGCATACGCACAGATCACTGGGTAAAAGGACGCTGATGTTGCGCAGATTACGCAGCTCAGCCTCAGACCGCAACCCAACCGCCGAGTCCAGGAGCTGGCGCCGATAATGACGAGACGCCGCATAGCATTCGCGACTACAATATCGCTGCAAAAGGCATCACATCAGAGAATAGAAATGAGAAGCCCCTCAAAAAAAAAATGGTTGGATGCAAGCAGGTCTGGTAAAAGGCTGACGCTGGGGTTGCAACCCAGCGTTTCGCACCATTGATTCGGTGATATCAACGATGCGCCCATGCTTCTGGTCAATATGGACACTGCCAAAGTATGCCGACTCTACAGCTTCAGATGCCAGCCGGTGGGGACAGATGGGATAGCCGCAGCGCTCATCTGCCAACCGCTCCTCCACGATGTTATCATAATGTTGGTGCTGAATCGCAGGGGCCTATGCGTCCATGAAACAATAGCCGCCGCCGCCGCAAAAACAGTTAGCAACGTGAGGCCTGAGCAAGGTCACCCCCCGACCTGTCGATAATGCCATGGCAGCATACCAGCTCCCGCATGCGCTCGACCGAAATGTAGGGCTGAGAGCACACGTCGATGCACAAGAGCGTGGCCTCGCGCTCGGCCCGCTGCCGGCGTCGCAAATCCTCTGCCGCCGCCGAGGCCATATCGACCCGCACTCCACCTCGCCCAGACCACACCTACACACCACCACCACCACCACCACCACACACACACACACACACACACACACACACACACACACACACACACACACACTGCCCCTGGACCCTGGACCTGGGCGCTTTTTGCTCGCTTCGGATGCACGAAACACGAGACAGTTGTAAAATCTGACATCTCGTCCATTGATAAACTCACAACATGTAAGTCATGTTCAAAAACTACTACTTGTAGTACATTTGTATGAGCTCTCACTCTCTCTCTCTCTCTCACATTCTCTCTCTCTCTTTGCTCTTTATTTCTCTTTCTCAAACCGCTCTCTCTCACTCTCTCTCTTTCGAGTGTGTGTGTGGTGTCAGCGTGTTTTGCTTTCGGCAAGACGATTCCACGAACATGGTGCAGCGACCGGGGCGATCGGGGCGGTCGAGTTGCTGGCTGGGGGCTGGACTGATCCTCTTGGTTGGTTTGCTGCTTGCGACCCCTGCGGCCGGTAGCAATCCCAACTGTCAGCTGGACCTACCCTTTTGCGATCTGAGCCTCGACTTTCGCGATCGTGCGTGGGATCTGGCTCAACGCTTGACCTTGGACGAGCTGGCCCAGCAGCTAAATACCTATTCGTTCACACCCCAGGCCTATGCCCCGGGTGTGCCCCGCCTTGGCCTGCGCAACTATTCATACCATGCTGAAGGCTTGCATGGCATTCGCGATGCCAACGTGGTCAACTACCCGGCTACGCTATATCCTCAGGTGAGACCGATCGACCAGAACCCTTGCCGGCGTCTCTGCGAGCCAGACTCATGCGTCTGCCAATCCCTCTGTTTGCCCTACCCTACTCAAAGGTCACGGCCATGGCTGCCACCGCCAATGCGTCATTGATCCACGAAATGAGCACCATCATGGGCACCGAACTGCGGGCCGTGAATAACCGGGCTCAAGAACTTGGTGAGATCTTTGGCCGGGGCGGTGCCCTCAGCATCTACGGTCCGACCATGAACATTATTCGCGATGGCCGTTGGGGCCGCTCTCAAGAATCTGTTTCCGAAGACCCCTGGCTCAATGGGCTCTATGCCGTCAATTTTGTGCTGGGCCTGGAGCAGCGCAATTCTAGCAAGTATCTTCAAGCCGCCACCTCCTGCAAGGTATTTCCACCGCCTTGGTCGTGCATCCTCGACCGGACCGCACCCTCATCGCGCATGTGGCTCTGACTGTCATCGCCAACGAATTAGCATCTGTTTGCATATAGTTTTGAAGGCTACAATAATACGCTGACTCGCCACAGCTTTAATGCCGTCATCGATGAGCTCGACATTCACGACACCTATCTACCCGCCTTCCGGGCCTGTGTTGAGCTCGGCCACGTTCAGCAGATCATGTGCAGGTACAAAAGCCTTTCAATTCAAATAAATAACACTGCCTCTCACATTACGCACACTTATGTGCACCCATATCTGCTGCTTCGCACACACGCCATGCCACCTGATGCCGGATGTGTACCCGATTCTGATCATGCTGTTTCTTTGCAACATGTAGCTACAACTCCGTCAATGGTATCCCAGCATGTGCGCGAGGTGACGTCCAGGTACGCTACGCCAGGTGTGCGCATACCCTGGTCCCACAAACGCCCTGCCCCAACGCCATGATCCTCTGTCACCTACTGTGCTCTTTGTCCTTGGCCTGACTGAACGCCTGACTATCACACCGTCGTGCTCAACCAGAATGATCGCGTGCGCAAGGCCTGGGGCTTTGAGGGCCTAATCGTCTCCGACTGCGATGCTGTCGCTGATATCTACAATACACACAACTACACTCGCACGCCAGAAGATGCTGTGACTGTGGCGCTACAGGGCGGCTGTGACCTAGATTGCGGTGACTTTTACTCACAGCACTTGGCCTCTGCTGTGCAGCAAAACCTCACCACCCTCGCAGCGCTTCAACAAAGTATGACGCGTGTCCTCGAAATGCGCTTTCTCCTCGGCGAGTTTGATCCCGATACCAGCGTGCCCTATCGTCAGCTGGGTCGAGAAGCCATTGACACGCCCTTTGCGCGGGACAGGTTTGGCTTTTCCTCGTTCTCTCTCTCTCTCTCTCTCTCTTCCTCTTCCTCGATGGCTCCCTCTCCCAAGCAAGAATTGCTTTCGGCGCTTTCCTCACACAGCCCTGCCTGGGCTCGAATCCTGTGTTGTACCTTGCACAGCTCTCTACGCGCATCTCGGGAATCAGTCGTCCTCCTGGAAAACCGAATCAAGTTGCTCCCCGTCACCTTATCCGCCGACATCAAAGTAGCCCTCATTGGACCATACGTCAACCTTACCACCATCATGATGGGTGGCAAGCTCGATTATACACCTTCCTTCATCACCACATACTTCCAAGGCTTTCAAGCCATTGGGATCACTCATCTGACTTCCAGCCCGGGCTGCAACATCACGGCCCCGCTACCCGGGGCTCTGGACAAGGCCGTGCAGATTGCCACCCAAGCTGACCTCGTTGTCTTGACGCTGGGCCTCTCATCCGACGTATGCATCTGACTGTGCAATCGATCCGGCGCTCACTTTGACCCCTACGTCAAAATAATATTTTCCCATGGCTCGCCATAGATTGAGCACGAGGGTGGTGATCGCGAAACTTTGGGCCTGCCTACCCCACAGCAGGACCTATACGATGCCATCAGTGCTGCCATCCCCAGCTCCAAACTTGTCGTAGTGCTTGTCAATGGTGGACCCGTCAGCGTCGACCGGATCAAGTATGGAATCGGTTTTGTACCGCACCTGGGGTTGTGGGTCGATAAGAAGATCTGTCCACCACCACCCCCTCTCATCTCCATCTCCGCTCACCTTGCGGCCCAATCACAGAGCACGGACACCAACCATCATCGAGGCCTTTTACGGTGGCCAAAGTGCTGGGACTGCTCTGGCCGAAACAATATTTGGCCAGAATAACCCCTCTGGCACCTTGCCTTACACTGTCTTTTTCTCAAACATTACGGCTCATGTGCCGTTTACCGACATGCACCTACGGCCAGATGCAGCGACGGGCTTTCCCGGTCGAACGCATCGCTTTTTTGATGCACCTGTCATGTGGCCCTTTGGCCACGGCTTGAGCTACTCCACATTTTCCCTGGCGTGGCAGGATGAGACGGTTCCAAGCATCACGACGGGTGACTTTACCCAACCAACTCTGATGCACCAACTTCTTAGCGTCAACGTGACCAACCACGGACCTTTGCCAGGCCGCCGCGCCCTTCATCTCTACGTGACAGTCCCCGTGACCAACGTCTCTGTACCTCTTCGCAATCTTGTAGGCTTACAGAAACATTGGCTCGCTGTGGACCAGAGCATGACGGTATGAGTGTGTCGGCAACACCTGGTTTTGGCTCACCAACACCGATAGCAGCTCACCTTGACTTCGCCTCCCTGACTGCGCGTGAGCATAGTATGATTTCTCGGGCCCTGCTGGCTTGCAGCTGCCGTTTCCCAGCGTGTGTTCCGTGTGTACGTATTACGCTGATGGTTCGCGAGCTGTAGTGCCGGGCACTTACCTGTTTCGTGCAAGCATGGGCGGTGAGTCGATCCAGCGCACGATCAATGTCACAGGCTCTCCACACGTCATGCCCTGACGCATGATTCGTGACCAACGAAAGAGGGGAAGGACATGGCATGTCAATTCAACTCTGATAGTCTTTTAGTGCATGTATGGTACCGAATAATTCAAGTTTAACTTGTGCTTTGCACGCGACCTAAGAAGTGTCCTCTGTGGAATCTGCGCCAGTTGCCTCGCGGCTTGCCTCGGCAGACCGCTTTGCTTGACGACGACGCTCGTTCTCCTCTCGGCGTTTGGCACCGGCAATACGTTTCTTGTGGGCTCGAGAGGCCAGGTGACTCTGTTTGTCGCGTTTGACTTTGTGAGACCAGTCTGTGAGGTGCTAGCAGTGAGGCAGTAACAGCTCCGATCCCTACCTCCCAGTCGCGTGTGGAGTAGAAGGAGCGCTCACAGAGACTGCACGTGTGTTCGATGGGAGCCTCGGCAACAGGGGTTGCGGTAGGCCAGGGCTGCAAGGCCAGGCCGGGCTATGGGAGCCAGCAGTAGGGCCGGTGAGATGGCGCAGTCTCGACTCGAGGGCAATTCAGCCGGTTTGCGATGAGTGCTGACAGACCAGCGGGTCTTGCGCCTGCATGGCTTTGAGTGCCTGCAGTGCCGGTTGCCACACCGTGTCCTCCCATGTCGAGGGCTGGGATGAGTCCATCTTGTACACAAACAGTTGATCTCGCTCTGGGCGGCATCGAGGGGCGTGAAATGTGACAGTGAGCGATTGTGATGAGGGGTCGCCCTATGGCCCCGTGGTAAGGGTGAGTAGAATGGGAACGAACCGCGTAGGAGGCGGTTACGAATCCAGGTCTGCTGGCGCTTAGCGTAGCGTGCCGTCGAAACTTTGACCTGTTCAATGCCTTTGGCCAGCAGCGTGCTGCCAGGTTTTTGAATGAGAAGCTCGTCAAGTTCTTGCCATGCCTGCTGATTTACGATCGTAGGCTTTTTGCTAGCAAACACCTCCTCGAGCCAGCCACGGTTTATGACATGCTCGAAGAGGGGGAGAAACTCTTTAAACCCAATTGCTTGAAGAATGCCATGCTGAAAGTTGAGCTGACCAAGAACTCGAGTTGGCCTTTGTCGTGTGTCGACTACCTCGCGGTGCACCAGAGTCGCCAAAAAACCAAAAATCTCATGGACCAATCCTTGCGCTACCATTTCGTCGACGCGCTTCGCCAGCCGACGTTCAAGGACAGCCTGTGTCACAGTACGAGTCAAGCACGTCGGGCAGGAGGGTTGGTAAGCATCTGTCCTGCCACGCAGTTAGGGTACTCTGGCCTTGCCTTGTCTGCGTCAACCCAGAAGCAGAGGGTAGGCCGGAAGCGAAGCGGTGACCCCAGTGCCTGTTCCTGCTTGATAAGGGCGCTTTGCGTGGTGCCTGTGCTCATGGCGATTTCCAGACTCCTGCTCATCGCCACCGGCATTCGAACGTGAGGCGATAATCCGTGCTTGCAACCCTGTTGATATCAAGAGGTCGGCAAGAAAGGATCAGGTGCCCCGGCAGCGTACCGGCGTAGCTTGCGGTGTTCACGCGGATGCAATCGAGCCGCGCTTGCTGGATCGACTCTGCGGGTGCGCTCGCGCGTGTGTGTTAGAACGGGCGCGTGGCAGGCACGGGTGCGGTTCGCTAGTCTACGTGTTGCGAGGCATGAGCGGCCGGTGCGCAGTACCGTACAGTTTGAGTTTGTTGTACAGGTCGTCGTCGGGAATCGCCGCAACCTCAATCTGGGCATCGGTCCGTTTGGTTTCGGCGGTTGCAGTCTCCGAGTCGGACTCGAGAAGGTCGCTGGCTGTGACGGACATCAAACTCTCGACGTAATAGTGGGTGCCACCGACCACGACAGGCACCTATGCCGATTTTGAGGCCATCGCGGGTGGAGCTGTGGGTGAGCGACCAGGCAGGCCCGGCGCAAGCACGCTGGCTTTGGTCGTGTTTCCGATGTTGAGGCCGGCATCGTGGTCGCACCTGGTTATTCTGGTGCATCTGCTTGATGAGCTGCAGCGCGCGGTCTCGGAACTCGGGCATGGTGAGCTGCTCGTCCATTTGCAGCTCATCCAGGAAGTGGTGTGGGATCCCCTGTCGCTCTTCACTCGTGGCCTTGTTGGACGCAATGTCGAGGCCCTTGTACACCTGCGGGCACGCGCGCGTGTTGTTTTAAGATGTTTGAAATGCGTGCCCGGATGGTGGCTGTGGTGAGCAGCGAGCTCCCGCTGTGATATGGCGTTGTGCACCAGCTTCAGACAGGCGATCTGTACCTGGATGGAATCGGACGATATAATCTCACCGCCGAGGTGTTTGGCAATCTGAACTGACAGCTTCGTCTTGCCCGTACCCGTGGCACCGAATACGCAGATCAGTGGTTTGTCCACCACGTGAGCCATGATCCGCGATGCCACCCTAGCCACCAGCGTTGCCCTCATCGCCAACCCCGCACCTGCCCCGTCCGTGCTCCCAGCTCAAGAGCCAGACAGACCCAGGTTGTGCATTCGCTTTGTAGTTGATCAATGACCTGTAAAGTTGTAAATGCATGTGTGTGTGTGTGTGTGTGTGTGTGTGAGACGAAAGCAGAAACTCCCTTAGCTCGTTCAGTACATGAACTTGATACATGCCTTACCTGTGTTATAGCTCGTGTGGAGCGGGTGGCAGTGCTCTGTTGCACACCTACCTGAAAAGGTTGACTATATCAGGGTGTGTCTCGCCGGGCACGGAGACCACTTCTCAACAACAAAGCCAAGGAGGGGGTGGCGGCGCGAAGAGAAGATGCAGGGAAGGAACTGATAATAAATTACCCGAAAATTACCCCGAAATTAACCCAAAAATTCATACACACACACACACACACACACACACGTGTGTTTCGTCAAACCGGAGAGATGTAATTTTTGTCGTGTGCGCCATCGAAACAGTCGTCATGGGAGGAACGCTCTCCCGGTTTGGTGCGACCCCCGAGGATGCGTCCACGGGCGCAGGAAAGGGGGTAACAGCGGTAGGGCAAGCCGCCGCATCTCAGGTGCCAGTGCAAAGCACACGCGACCCCCGGACCCTGTTTACCATGCCCACATCCAATGGGCGAGCACCGGTAGCATCGAGGTACGGCCTGGCTGCGGCACTGCGCGTCATGGGGTCCGTCAGCAAAGCGGCCTTGATCAGTCGTCCTCACACACAACCGCATGGATGTCACACAGGCACCACAGCAACCTCAAAGCTGTACTGGCGCAGATTGACGCATTTATCGCCAAAGAATGGCCTCATCTCGTCAACACAACGCCGGAACCTGCCGACGCCCATGCACAGGAAGGCAACGGCGAGGCAGGCGAATATCGAGGCGAGCCAGATCAAAAGCGTGTAAAAGGCAATGCGTCACGCCGCGAAAAGCGTACGCGCCACAAAAAGCAGACGGATACGGCCAGCGAGCCATACTCGCTCTGTCATGCTATTGTACACGGTCAAACGGTACGCGTCCACCCGCCTGCTCACCTTGCGCAGCATGCCCCAATCACCGCTGACACCCCTGCGCATGTCCGAAAGCTGCACAAAAAAGACCATCTCACCCTGGCGACCTCGCTGCCATTGCATCGCAGTGCCACCGCGAGCACTGCAAGTTTGAGCACAGCGTAGATCTGTACCTTCAACACAAGCGACCTGACCTCGAGGGGACCTGTCCATTTTGGAAGCGGCAGGGGGGTACTTGCAAGTATGGCATAACCTGCCGCTACTACAAGTCCCACACCCCACTTACGCTGGCCGAGACCACCGTCGCAGCGCCATCGACCGACGTCAAGACAGAGGAAGAAACAAACTTTATGAGCAATGATCTGCGCAAGCAGCTCCGCTCAAATCGCTACACCTTTGCCCGCAACGACGAGTTTGAAATCATGACCGAGGACGAACTCACCACGCGCATTGGGGTCTTGGTTGAACTCGACAAGAAAACGGTCAGAGCATTGCGTGGTCATTCGCCTTGAATTTGTTCAAGTTCGCATCCACACGTCAAACCTCACACATGCACCGCGTTGACCCTTTGTGCGCATCCATGCTCCTCGGCAGATCGACTGGCACAACAAGCTTTACCTGGCGCCGCTTACAACCGTGGGCAACCTGCCGTTTCGGCGCCTCTGCAAGCGCCTTGGTGCAGATGTCACGTGCAGTGAAATGGCCATGGCTTCATCTCTGCTACAGGTACGGCGTACAAGCCACCAAGGCTTCAGATGTCACACTGCTTATACCCACAACGAGAGCGCTCACGCATAGCTGTGCCAAACACTTGCTCTCTTCCCAGGGATCCTCGTCTGATTGGGCCCTTGTGCGGCGACACGAGTCTGAAGACTTGTTTGGAATTCAGGTCCGCAATGGTTTTTCTCTGCTTTCCCCTGCCTGCCCAGACTCTACCAATTGCCGACACTGCCATCCGCACCCACGTCGCAAACGCCTGAAAGCCAACCACCTTTGTTGGGACCATACACCATAGATCTGCGGGAACCAACCCGACATGTTGGCACGCTGTGCCGAGCTGTTGAGTGAGGAAACAGATGCCAGCTTCATTGACTTGAACTGCGGTTGTCCCATTGATCAAATTTTCCAAAAAGGCTGTGGCAGTGCTCTGCTTGCCCGACGCCAGCGTCTCAAGGACATTGTGCAAGGTGTGTCATGTGGCATGGCTCATCGCCTGGCTCGCTGCAGGTGCGACACCCTGATGCGGAGGCTATCGTGCACACACGTAGGCATGCGTGTTTGCTCCAAAATCCCGATCACGGTCAAAGTGCGGACTGGCGTCCACGGCGACAGGCCCACGACGCACAAGATGGTTCACGAGATGCGCAGCTGGGGCGTCTCAGCTCTGACGGTGCGTGCGCGAGCGGCTGCTCGACAATCAGTCTCCACGTTGCCGTCGTTGTGATTGGGACTGCGATGCCATAGATCCACGGACGCTCGCGCCAGCAGCGGTACACCAAATACGCCAATTGGGATTACATCAAGGACTGCGTCGAAGCTGCTCCCGATCTTCCCATTTTTGGTGTGGTCGAAAACTCGATTTGCTCCGCGCATGTTTTCTTTGCCCACCTGCGCCATCTCACAAGTCAACGTTGACCCTGGTTGGGCGCGGTCTGCCACATGAAATAGGGAACGGCGATATCCTTTCCTGGGAGCACGCGGTGCAGCATCAGGCCAGCACGGGGGTCTCGGGGGTCATGCTCGCTCGGGGTGCGCTCATCAAACCGTGGCTCTTCACGGAAATCAAGGAGCAGCGGTGTGTTTGCCTGCTGCACGTTACAGCACAGCCGTGCAAAATCCGCCGTAACCAAACTGGTTCGCCCGTGGGTTATGACGTGTGCATGGATTCACTCTGCGGACACTACTGACGCAGGACATGGGATATCTCATCCATGGAGCGCTTTGAGCAGCTGCAAGAATTTTGCAAATACGGACTCGAGCACTGGGGGTCTGATCACGCGGGTGTTGAGCGGACTCGCCGCTTTTTGCTGGAAATGCTCTCTTTCACATGCCGGTGTGTGAAAATGCCCGGATAGCATGCTTTCCCGCTCGCCTTTGGTTGCGTTTTTGTCTGGCCAGTGGCTGCCGATACTCATCGGTGCGCACACCTGTCGGGGTTGTCATCACATGGCACAGGTACATTCCTGCTGGATTACTGGAGGTACTGCCGCAACACATGAACGACCGACCCCCCGTCTTCACGGGCCGCAATGATCTCGAAACGCTGCTCTCCTCACAACGGCCGCACGACTGGGTGAAGATATCGTACGTAATGCATGCCCACCGGCGTGGTTCACCCCTGCTCGTGTTTGTCTCAGACTCGTGGTGGCCTGATGCCGTGTGCTCGGGTAGGGAGATGTTGCTGGGCCCCGTCCCGCCGGGCTTTTTCTTTGAAGCCAAACACAAGGCCAACTCATGGGGCTAAAAGGTGTAGCGTCGTTCTTTCCTGTCCTCTTGCCTCAGCCCATGACGCACCGCACCAGCATTGGGCGGCACCAGCGTACACCTGGTATTCATAGTTTGGGATCGTCGGGATCGTCGGGATTGTCGGAATCTGTGGGATCTTTGGGTGTGTGCGCCAGACATAATCGACACGGCCGCGTTTCTTTTCTCTCAAATTATGTTTTGACACAATGTTCAGCGCCCGACACCATACCAAAGACCAGCATGCACAAGAATACATGACAATCATTGCTGGCGTGCTTCGAAATCCTAACGAGATATGAGGCATGGGACCCCATCATGGCGGGGGAGTCCGGGCGTGAGTTGGTGGAAGGCGGATGCGGTCGATAAGATTGATGCAAGGCACACCTGTTTGAATTGGCGCACAATGCTTGCACTGCGATCACCATAAACATCATCGCAAAAGGCCTGCAGCATGGGCCAAAACTCATTCTACACGCACGGAATTGGCGACACGACAAACAAGAACGATGAGATGGCCGGTGCATCTTAAAAAGGAGCTGCGACATGGGCCGTGCAGCGCATCTCTCATTCAAGGGGGAGAAGGCGGGAGGGAGGGCAAAGTAGGGAGCAAGGCGAGGCACGGACCACATTATAGGACGTGGTCTCTGCAACCGCAGGAGCGGTGTTCGCGTTCAGGGGCAGCACATATACATCTTTCCTGCCATCCAGGGAAGCATCCTCTGCAGACGGTCGGTGGCGGATGAGAATTTTATCAAGGGTGTCGGTGATTGAGGTCAGAACATGAAGTGAACTGGGGGCAACCGAGGCATATGTTTTGATAGAACAGAGAGTCATGGGACATACCTGCCAACACGCGTCCCTTGTGCACAATGACGTGGTGCGAATGTTGGGGGTTCGCCCGAGTTGCAACCCATTGCTCAAGAGCCGTCGCGACCGAAGTACCCCGCTGAGAAGTCCGCCCCGAGGGTATGGGCGCGAAATAGAGCAAAGGAACAAGGCAGAGGGTAGATGAGACGAGTGCAAAAGAATAACGCAACGGCGAGGTGAAGGCTCCAAGACACACCGCTACACGTAAAGAGCCCAGCGGACCGGGACGAAGCCCGCGCAAGACGATATCATTGTCGCAGGCTTCAGCCGACTCGGCTGTCGTTGCGGACGTCCTCGACTGAGAGGCCACACGAGCTGCCGCTGGCTCAAGCACAAGCCCACGCGCAGGTGCTTCAACCTCAAAAGTGCGAGCCCCAAAGTCCACCGCCTGCTTGGAGTGTCCTTTCGGCTTGTCCAGCCGCGGATAGCCCTGCAACCGTGCCTCAAACGCAGCGCGATCCATCGTGTTGTGGCGCCGTCCAGAAAACTGGCATGACATTGTCAGAAGTTTCACGCATATGATTTTATTGCAAGTATTTATATATGTACTTACAAATCACCCATGCATAAGGCCTCATTAGCTCAGTCGGTAGAGCATCAGACTCTTAATCTGAGGGTCACGGGTTCGAGACGACTGTAACGACCTCCCCGTAACAATCCGGGTGTGAGGCTGAGAGCCTTTCTTTTTTGCTCTTCCTCTCACTTAACGGTCTGATTTGTTTGTTGGCAAGAGAAGAGAGAGGGAGATGTGTGTGTGTGTGAGTGTGTGTGAGTGGGTGAATTCATTAAATTTATATTTTTTTTGGCTGTCACAACTGTTTGGGCGCCTTGGGGGGGCACGGGAGTTGGAGGCTGGGTAGACATGGCGGGCGCTGGTGGTGATGGTGGGCTAGAGGCCTCGCTACGGTATTGGCAGCTGCGAAGGCTGGTGAGTTTGTTTTTGGGTTGTGATGCAGTTGCTTTCGGTTCGATCCGAGGAGTTTGCTCACGCGACGGCCTGCTGAGACTAGCAACACCATGCCCCACGCTTCATCTCCAGCACGGACAAGGGATCGCTGACCCTGGATCAAATTCTTGCCCAGCTTGATCAAGGTACTGCTTGCCTGCTGCAATCACGGCCGTGCCTGCATCGCACTACTTGCAGCTCAATTTTTACCTTGCTTTCTCCTTGACATTGGAGTCTCCAGATGTCCAGCAGTTGGAGCGCAATCTGAAGCAGTTTGGAAGCCCACAATCTGCGCCGCAGCGCAGTCTGGTAGCCAGTTATGACTTTATTGACATGGCACAGGTGTGTGCGTGCGGCGATCACTTACAAGGCTGTGTGCAAGCAAGCAAAGCCTGTGCTGTCGGTGCAGGTGAGTTTCGGCGTCAGATGGCCTCACGAGCCAAGTCACGGCCTTTCCTCCTCCTTCCCACGGCTTGCAGCGGGCTTGGCAGGCAAAACTTGTGCATCGCTACGGCTTGATTGCCCGAGAGCATCGCATTCCAATCGCGGATACCCGGGCGCAGCAGCGCAGTTTGCAGCGCGATCGCCTGCTGGATAGCATGACGCACGGTCCGAAGACACACTGTTTGGCTCGTGCAGCATAAGGCCCTATATGTGAATGGGCACGACCTGATGTATCATCTCCTTGTCCTTGCGGTTCTCCTTGCCTGTTTGTCCTTGCTTCTCGACTTTTCAGAGCCTCTGGCCTTGAACATGTACGTATGTGACGCGGGGGACTTGTTGCGCGAGCTCGTGGCCGTCATCAACCCCAACTACTTGCCCGGCGGTCGCCGCACGGCAGCCACCCTCGACCAGGTCCCAGAAGCGGCTGGTAGGTGCCTTCGCCTTCCTTCTGGGGCTGTAGAAATTGGTACTTTCAAGCTCAGTCTGAGATTCTTGCAGATTCAGCTAGTTTGCAGCGAGAGCAGGCATATGCCAGCGAGGCGCGCCAGCATAGCCAACGGGCCAAGCTGGCGTCCGAAGCGCTCAAAGAATCCACGCCTCCGGTGGCTCGTGATCAACACGAAAAGCTACGCTCCTCTCTGCAGGCGCAAGCCGAGGCTGAGCGCCGCGAAGCTCTGGCCGCAGCCTCTCGCTCGGCTGAAGCGGCCAACCAAGCTGCCGCACTCCAGCTCGTGCAAGCACCGACGGCGTGGATTCGCCATGGCCTGTTGGCCGCATCGCTGCCACAGGGCATGATTAAAGTCGTCTTTGCCGTCCCTAGTGTAGCCGACCTACGTCGCGCCTTTGCGCAACTGCACCCCACCACCGTGCAGGTGGGCATTGAGGATCAGTGGCAGAATCCACAACACACCACCTTTGTAGCACATCGGGCAGCTGATACAGAGGATATTCTTGACCGCCAGGATCTCGCCGCTCTGATAGATCAGTGTCGCAGGTACGCGGCCAACTTGTCGCTCGCGCTGCCAATCCACTTTTAGCGAGCCCGAGGTACATGATCTGCATCACAAACCGTGCTAACTTATGGCGGGTGGAACGATGCTGGTTGACATTAGTGGTTGTCTGCCCGACCTTCGAGCCCGCATTTGGATGCACGCTCTCTGCTTTGACCAGCTCTCGGACTTTGCCGTGCGATACAATGAGCTTTGGTCTGGGCTTGCTCAGTATTCGACCCTGAGCGAGCGCCTCGCCATAGCCGAGAGTCGGTTCCTGTGTAATCTCAGTGATGTTTACTTTATATTCCAGGTCAGAATCTACACTGCTGTCTCTGATGCGACTGCGCGCGAGAGCAAAATTTTTTTTCGGTGCCGGTGCTGCTGTGCTCGCTGGCCTGACACGTTGTGTTGCTTGGCTGGCTGATATCAGGATCAAGTCTCCGAACTGCTGGTGGCTTTCCTGCATGACAAGGATATCTGTCGCGTACTCAAGTCGGTCCACCGTGCTGCTTGTTATCGGGCATCGCCCCACATTTCTTGTTCAGCACCTCATGCTTGGCTTGGCGACGCAGCTTGGACAAGCTGCCAACGTCCCAGGTGTTGGAGGCTGACGTATCACCGGCGGTTGACGGCAGAGATGTGCCTTGTAGTGGCATTGTTCTGATGCGCGGCATGTCTCTGCTCGTGGCACCCCTGGCTTATTTATCCCACGACATGGCGCGTGCTTACGCCCTCCATCGTCAGCTTTACTGCCGCTACTGGCATCGTCTACTCACCATCAACGGGGCACCAGATGTGCGTGGGTGCGCCGCAGGGATTGGTGCTAGACCCACCCTGGTTGATGGTGTCTCATCTGTACCTGTTTGGACATCCACAGGGGATTCTGGCGCTCTGCAACCTCTTTGAAACGCTGATGCAACGGCATCAACCCGAGCTGTGGAACCATCTGCTGGTACGTGGCGCTAGGCAGGCTCATGCGAGGCAGCAGGTCTTGTTTAAACATCTGCTGAGTACCATGCCTGTATTGTGCAGTCGATCGGCGCAAGCCCCCTGCCGTGGGCGCTTCAGTGGATGGTGACAGCCTTTTCAGGCCATTTGCCCGTATCACAGGTACAGCCGTCAAGGCGTGCACCATGCACCCATGGGCGATGCAGGCTTCAGCCACGGCACTCATCCTTCTCCTGTACTTCTCATAGGTTCTGCTGGTGTGGGATCGCATCATCGGGTTCGATTCGTTACGGCCCTTGGCGTTACTCGCCGTCGCCATCTTTGCCTATCGTGCCTCCGTTCTGCTGCGGGTACGTTTGAGGGCTGACCCATGCTGGTGCTGTGCACATACATGTCATGGGGTTTTCTTTCGATAACTCACACCGCGGCTTTGGCCCCTGCTTTTTTTCTTTGGTGGTGTCTTTGTCACCTGTCGGTTTCTCAGGCGGGGACCAGAGATGAAGTGGACGCCATGTTGATGGATCTATCTGGGGTGGAGGCCATTGTATTGTTGCAAACGCTGATTTTCGTCTAGACAGCCAGAGCCTTGTCACTTGTTTCAAGCCGTGCAGCTACATAGGAACGACAAGTTTTCTCCAATCGAACACGATAGTCTTCTGTCAAGTCCCTGCAGAGCGTTGATTGACATTTTCCTTCTTTTTCTCCGTGCAAAATACAGGTGGGGAGAGCGGTCGCCAGGAAGCATGCTTCTTCGCCCACGGCAACAGGTCGGCCCAAGCTGCGGGAAAGAGTGGCAGAGCAGAAAGAAAAAAGAGCGACTGGGTTGTAGGGCTGACGCTCGAGTATCGAATTCAATTGCACTATACATGACGGGAAAGTTTTGCCAGATCAAACTGAGCCTGATTGCCAATTTTCACGCACTATAACTTTGTTCGGTGTTTGTTGGCAGAAGTGGTCCCTCTCAGACATCATCGTGAAATCGGCGACGAGTGATGGTACATGTCAAAGCGCAGAGGCAAGCGCCGCCTACACCTCTGAAAACTGTGGCGCTGATGTCATCACCTACCATTGAATCACTATTGAATCACAGCCATCGAGATTGAGGGCTGGATGGCGATGCGCTCGGTCGATGTAGGCAGTGGGTTGTTGTTGAATCAGCGTCTTGGACGCTTTCAAAACAAATGTCTTGCGTTTCGTGTTTTGAAGTTTCGCGGCATGGCACCACGGAAATGTTTTCTTTTTGCTGTTTACTCATGGTCCTGGTCCTCATTGGCCACGATGGCATTGGCGTATTGAAAGTCGCCAGAGGCCTCATACTCAGCCATGTCCAGTGCAACTTCGCAGCTTTCCTTGACCACCACTGCCTCGTCCTTGGCAAATTCCTTGATCAAGGGTAGGACCTGCAGATACGACACCAAGAAAAAAAAAGGACGGTGGTGAGCGGGATCATATGCCAGCGGGCTTTGGTGCGTGGAGCCATCTAATCTGGCATGAGGGCACTCACCTCATCAGAAGCAATTGAGCCAAGCGCTTCCGCACATTCATGGCGCACCATGTAGTTTTCGGACACATCCTTCAATCGCTGTCAAAGAAAATTGCGACAGTGGGTGAGCACGCGGTCAGGGAGAGGGTTGCGACTTTGGTGGCAACCAATTTTCTGACCCCCCCTCCCCCTTCTCCCCCCCCCGCAAAAAGGGCACGCCGCAGTTGCACTCACCTCAGCCAAGCCCGTGACCGAGGCTGGGTGCTGCATCTGACCCAACACGTAGGCTAGAGTGGATACACGGCAAGGGAAAAATACGTGAATGGGTGCGGGTGTGTGCGGAGGATGAGGAAGTGCGGGCGTGTGCTTAGCAACCAGGGAACGGTGGTCGAACCGGCTTCGTGTCGGAAGAGGGCACTCGAGTCGTTGAGGCCCTCAACGATGGCTTCAACGGCCTCGGTGTTGCCAATGTTGCGGAGGGCAAAGAGGCTACGATAGCGCTGAAAGAGGCTTCGGGAGGTGTCCAGATATTGATCGCGCAGGCTGGCGATGTCGGCCTCTGGGGCGGGGGGCGCAGGATCCACGGACAAGTATCCACCGGACCTGCACCGCGGGCCGCGCGGGATGGAGGAACCAGCGTATGAACAGAGGCAGGGAGAGACAAAAATAAGTACAACGAGGTGAATAGAACAGAGTCAACGCCCAAGCAGACCAAACAAAACAAATTCATGCACGCGAGCACAATCTATGACGCACGGGGAGAGCTCATCAGCCTGCTTTGCCTGTTGCTTGAAAGCGATACGATCCAACGCAATCTGAAAGTGGGCAACACAGGGATGAGCAGTGAAAAAAAGGAAAAGCGAGACAAGAATACCGCCAAACATGGAGGGCCGGAGTCGGGGAGAGAGCCGAGTTGGACTCGATGTGGGAGTCCAAGAGCGCGCGGTCCAACCTCGCAGGTTTCGGCGACTTCAACCGACTCATCATCCTTGAAGCGAGTAAGCACGGCGATTGATTCAGCATCACCGATGGCACCCAAGGCCTCGGCAGCTTCGTGTCGGACCATGGCATCCTGAAAGAGGGGCCAGAGCAGCGGCAGGTCTAGAGTGTGAAAGACTCGGTTGCGCCCGACTTGCCAAGTGACGGTACCGCGTGCAAAAGCTGAAAATGCTACCTGTTGTTTGTTCTCGAGAACGCTGGTCAAGAGCGGGATGGCGCTGAGATCCTGCATCTGACCGAGCACGTAAGCGCACTCGTGCTTCAGGAGGGCGGAATCATCCTCAAAGGCTAGTGGGAAACAAAAGCGATGAGAAAAACAGAAACTGCATGACACTTTTCGAGCCGAGAAGGCTCGTCGAGCTCATGGCCGTCGCCGTGAACCGGAACGAGCAGAGGCCGCGCGATGGGCAGACAGACCGGCAGCAATGGCTTGAACAGATTCTGGGCAGACAATGTTGCGGAGGGTGAAGAGCGCGCGAAAACGTTCAGCCAAGGGCCTAAAATGAAACGAGGCCAAGCACCCAACAAGACAAAGGTCAATACCAAAGACCAGGCCAGGGAAGGGAAGGGAAGGGAAGATATTGGGGCGGGCCTCAAGATCAGGACAAAGGCGTGAGCGGAGGTTGCCTACTTTGCGGGGTCAGCCAGCACCTTGCCAACTATCGAGAAAGAAGCGAGAGACCCGAAACAACAGGAGACATGAGCTTTGGGGCGGGCGGAGATGCGTCACACGTGGATGGGGGTTGCAAGAGGTGCAGGTTGGAACGAGGCGAGCGAGAGATGGGGAGGAGGGTGACGCTCAGTCCTCGCCCATCAGAGCCCAAGCGGTCCGTCAAACCAGAGTCCAAAGGGGCACGGAAACCGCCGAGTGAGGCCGTCAATACTTACGTTTGGGCACATGGGCCTGCAGGTTGGTGGTGTTGGTGTCTTCGGGCATCGTGGCGGCCGTGGGGGGTGGAAAATAGGCACTTGGATAGCGCTATAAATAGAGGGGGACAGGATGACAATAAAAACTCGTTTTGACAGGTTTTTGATCAAAGTCTCCAACTTTGGATCATCAAAGCGTGTGTGTGTGTGTGTGTGTGTGTGTGTGTGTTTGTGTGTTTGTTGTTTTCCCACACACACACACACAACCACAAGGTGATGGATGATGTATGTGTGTGCGTGTGTGTGCGTGTGTGTGTGGGGTGTTGGACAGCGAGGGTGTATAAAAAGGGTTCGTGTGTGTGTGTGGTGAGTCATCCTCTACACAACAACATAACACACACCCCCGATCAAACAAAACAAAACCCTGTGTGTGTTATGTGTGTGTGTGCGTTCGTTGTGTGCGTTCGGTGTGTGAGTTGTGTTGTAACGGAAATGGCATTTCCCCTCACTGGTTGGTGTGAGCGATCCAACGATCTTTTTTTTCTGGCTGTCCCTCCTCCCGCTTCCTCTCGCCTGCTCTCGCCTCCTCCCGCCTGCTCTCGCCTGCTCCGTGCCCCATTCGTTGGCTTTGCTTTGCCTGCACGGTTGGCGCCTGTTTGGCGACCACTGCTTTCTTTGCACCTCCACGTCTTGCTTTTATTCTGGGATGGTTGGAGGTACTGACTCATTTTTGTTTCTCGCATCTGTCAGGCTTCGACTCTTTCGTCGTTGACGAAAGCCCTCTCGATCTCCGTATCGGGGAGGCCGAGAGCAGAGGAGCACATCACAGCAGAGACCTCGAGACTCAGGTTTGTTCATTTTTTCTCCCTCTCTATTGCATGCAGTTCGCGCTAAGCCGCAAGTCGATACCTTGGTCCACACTGAGGCCGGACTTGTTTTTTGTTCCCGGCTTCAACTTTTTTTTTTTTTTTCCCACATCTGTGGTATGCACCCGATAGCGCCGTGAGCACCACAGCACTATGCCGCCACGTCGTGCCAGCCGGCGTACCGCAAGCGTCAAGAGAGCCGTATCGGCACCAGAGTCAGATCCAGAGTAAGTGGCGAGGCACGTCCCAGCTTTTCGAGCTTGAGCTTGAGCTTGAGATCTCATGCCGTTCGTTGCCCGTGATCGCCGATGAACCCTTTTACAGTGCAGTTGCGACGGCTTCTACACCGGCCTTGACCAAGCGCAGCAGTCGTCGACGCGCCGCAGACGACGCTGCTGTGCAGGAAAGTCCTGCAGGTGCTGCTGATGCGGGTTCACGTCAGGCCAGCAAAGTTGCAGCCAATGGCGAGGTGAAAGCCACTCCCAAGACTGGGGGCAAAGCCGCCCCCAAGTCTGCATCCAAAGCCACCCCCAAGACTGAGACCAAAGCCGCACCCAAAGCCGCCCTCAAGACTGGGGCCAAAGCCGCCTCCAAGACCACGGCCGGGCTGAAGGAAGAGGCCGTACCTGCAGCGCGCCGTGCCTCTCGTGCTGCCTCGGTGTCACGAACTGCTTCAGCCGAAACACCCAAACTGACCAAGAAGACCAGCGGCAAGAAGGCGGTCAAAGTTGAGACGACTTCGACGAATGGGGATGCAACCCAGCCCGAAGCTGCCCAGCCCACTCAACCCGAGGCCATGGACCTGGCACCCGAGACTGTGGCACCCGAGACTGTTTCAACCGATGACACTGCTGTCCTCGGCGATGACAGCACTGGTGCCGATGCTGGCCAAGGACGTGGCCGTGGCCGTGGACGAGGCCGTGGACGAGGACGCGGACGAGGACGCGGGGCAAAGCGGACGGCGGCCGCTGCCGGTGCTTCGGACGAGGATGACAGTGACGACAAACCCTCCGAGGCTGCAGATGCAGCGCAGGGTGCAACTGGTCGTGGCCGAGGTCGAGGCCGTGGTCGAGGCCGAGGTCGAGGCCGTGGTCGCGGTCGAGGTCGCGGTGCCGATGCCGGTGCGCTGAGCCTAGGCGTTGCAGTGGACACCTCAGGCATGACTGCAACCGCAGCTGTGGCCGCTTCAACAGCGGCTGCTGCGTCGGCCATCGCGGCCGGCCCAGCCCCCCGTACCAAAGCAGAAAAGCTGGTCGCGGCGCGCGTTCAGCGAGCAGTCGAACGTCAAAGCATGGGCATCGACCTTGGGGCCTTGCGTGACCTGTCGGGGGTTCAGCCTCCCTACGTGCCACCCAGTCGTGAAGACGAGAACAAGGGCCCGCTCTACTTTGACCCCCTGCCTGGATTCACTCAGTCGCCGACCGTCTTGGCTCTTTTGGATGAAGAGGAGGCCGCCGTTGACGTCGACAAAAAGCCTGACGTTCGTTCCTCCCTCGTCAAGGTTCACAGCTCTATCAGCGGCCGAACCGCCGGCCGAGCTCTCTTGGGTTCACGCAACAGCATCGGCCTCAATGAGAAGAAAGAGCGCCGCTTCGAGGTAAGTCGATGTGGGTATTGCAAACACACCCAGGCCACTTGCTCTGAAGACACCAAATGCCGTCAGTATCTGCCTAGCGCTCACCGAGCCTGGCCGAGCAAACCAGGTGCACCTGAGCAGCTCGGACGATTGCCAGCTTTTGAGCGCTGTCACGGATGACCACGCCGTCATTGGTGTGACTTCACTCGCCCTCAACTCTCAGTTGAACAAGCAATACACCTTTGGTAATCACACGGTGGTTCAGGTGCGATCTCGCGCGCGTGGCCTTGCCTGCGCTGACAGCAAACCGCTTGTTTTTTTTTTCTGTTCTCGCCCGTCTCCTTGCCTGCTTCGCCGTTGGATCGTGTCGGGGCCGTTGTTCTGCTTGCCCTGCTTGTTCGGCTTATCCAGGGCACCGTCAACCAACTGACTCCGTGTTGCATGCACCACCTCGGATCCAACCTCTTGGCAGCAATCCTGGCTCATCCTGGCCGAAGGCGAGCCCAGCACCACTGCCGGTGCCGTGCGCATCATCTGTCCAGCCCTCAAGGCGTTGTCTCCCTCGGATCGGGTAGCCTTGGTCGTCAAGGTCAGACCTTGCCTGCCCTCGTTGGTCCAAGACCGCCCCTCGTTTTTATCGTATCGTGTGATCAGCGGGCTGCCCGATTGACGCGCGATTTCGACCTGTTGCTGCCGTTTTCTGCTGTTTTGCTGCTCGACCTCATCACCAACGTCTTTTCGGGGTTGCCACGGCCCCCGGAACCCTTGACTTCTCTCCACGAGACAGAACAGCTCATTGAGCGTGTTGATCAATGATAAGCCGGCTGATCTGCAGTTTGAGAAGGGCAGCACTCTTCCCGTCCTCATTAAGCGCATGTCCAGCCGTGGTGGGTCGGCTAGTGCCGGGTCGACCGCCCAGCCAAGTGAAGAGGCAGAGGCAGAGGCAGAGGCAGAGGCAGAGGCAGAGGCAGAGGCAGAGGTAGAGCCAACCCCCGCCCTGAAGCGCAGCAAGAGTGGAAGCCGCAAGGGCGCCAAGAGTGGTGATGCCGCCAACAAGAAGGAAGAGGAGGAGGAAGATCCGTCCAAAGTGCACATCTCACGTGGCAAGTCGGCCACGACCACCATCACGGCCGTCGACCAATTGTGGGCCGTCTTCATTGCCCCCACCGTTCGCACGGGGCACCTTCAGGTTCGCCTCGTGGGTGAGGGTGGCTGTGGTTTGCCCGCCAAGGAGCAAGCGCTGCGTTACGCCGCCCTCGATCAGGTGTACCGGGCCGGCTCGCGCGGTGCTGATGCCTGCAACCGCCTTGTTCATCAAGGTACGCTAGCAATCGTCCTGTTCGTTCAGACTGCTTTTTGTCATGCCCTTGTGTCCCCGGCCACCGTCGCCTGTCGTCGCGAGGCTCGTCTTTGCTCAGCCTCACGCCATGTGATGGCCCTGTCCTCCTCTGGCAGCCGTTGAGGCCAAGGATGCACATCTATTGCGAGCGTGCATCGATGCCAAGACGATTGTGCCCTCGTGTACGGCCATGTATTTTCCGGATGGCGGACCGCGTCCAGCCCACGTGGCTGCGCTAACTGGGCAACATGAGGCCCTCATCAAGTTACTGGCCGCCAACAGCGACGGTCGCGTGGCCATGCCGTCCAACTCCATTGCCGATTCCACCTCAACCGGCTCGGTCGGCAGCAACACCTACTATCACCGCACGCGTGCGGTGGGCGTTGCGCGGGGAGGCAAAGAGGGCAACTCGGCCTTTATCCAGGAAGATGAAGGCTGGTCCTACGAGCCTAATCCCTTTTACAACCAGTCAATGGATCTGCGCCTCTTCTGTCGCGCCCGCAACCTGGACGAGACGACACGCGCCATCATGCAAAATCGCTGCACCGAAGTTTCCACCCAGCTGCAGAGCTTTGGTCTTTTCATGGCCGTCGAAGCAGGAAACGTGGCCGCGGCTCGCCTGGCAGTGGAGCAAACGGCTAGTGCTAGTATGGGCGTGACCAAGGTGCACTTTATGGCCTTGGACCCGACCACGCCCTTGCAAAGCGTGCCCGCGCGTCAGGTTGCCAAGCGCCTGCCCTCCAGCAACAATCTCAGTGCCTTGCACATGGCCGCAGCGCTGGCACCAGCCGATCGCTTTGAGGCCATGTTGAAGATGGGCGAACTCAATACAAGCATCAAGGATGAGGTCGACCGCACGCTTATCCACTATGCCGCTGCCAATCCTTATGGCAGCGCCAATGTCGAGTACCTTCTCAAGCTTCGCATGCCACCCAGCGTCATGGACAAGCGCGCTGGTACCCCGCTGCATCTCGCCGCTCGCTTCGGGCAGCCCTCCACCGTTCGCTGCCTCATCGATGTCATCCGCAAGCACAAGGCCGAGCTGGCTGACGCCGCTGCCTCAGTTGCTGCTGGGGGCGACGCGGACAGCGGCGAGCCCCAGAAGAAAAAGTCCAAGGGCGTCCTCGAGCGCCAGGCCGCGGAGGCATTTGGCCTGAGCCGCGACAAGAAGGGCCACACCCCCCTTCACTACGCTGCTTACGAGGGCCGCACCGACAACATCCAAGCCATTGCCGCCACTGGTGCCCCGCTTGACTTTCCAGACAGCTCCAAACGCACGGCGCTCATGG